ATGGTAAGCTTCGTCATGTACGTCATTATGTGTCCCTAATACGTGTTCATATTTTTTTACATATTTGTCTAACCTTCATACTTGTTAGTATAAACGTGGAGGTCACATGCATAGAAGACCAGCCCCTTCCTCGTCCTCGTCCCCGTCCCTTTCCTCTTCCCCTGCCCTTTCATCTAACCCTCAACCACTATATGCTGATGGACAATATGGACACGTTGGCCCTTCCTTCAACCCTCAAGAACATGTTAGGGGACTTGGACACATGCAAACTGAATCTCCTTTAGTTCCATCTCCTTCAGATCCATCTCCTTCCGTTCCACCTTATTATTCAGCGCAACAATCGAATAATGAGGGAAACACAGGTGAAGAAGATAACCGAATCATGATATGCCCATGTGGAGATTCGTAAGTTCTTCATTTTTTTAAGTATATGTAATATTTATGGTTTTAGATATAGATGTCAACTGAATTGTCGATGTTGCACAATATCCGTATGTTTGCAGATTCACGGATGCTACGTTTGTTGTGAGGGAACTGAATAAAATAGTCAAAACTATTGGATGGGGCAGTATATTAATTACAGCAGTGCTCCACAAGAAGTGAAAGATTTGTGGTGGAATGAGTTCAAGGTAAGTTTTAGATATTCTATTTTCTCACCAACTAAGTTCGGTGTAGTATATTGATGGTCAAGAATAATGTAAAGGGACCAGAACAACTCTTTAGTTTTCGGTACTAAAGGGACCAGATATTTTCCCTGAGATGAACTTTACAAAATCTATCGCCGAATTGTCTGGTGTATGGTAATAGATATGTGACCATCATAATAACTTTCAGTTGTTTTTGTATTGATTGCAGCGGAAGTTCAGGTGGGATGAAGAGGAAGAGAATGAAGTGAGAAGAATTTTTAAGAAGAAAGTCAGTGATCACATACGAAATGTGATGAATAGAGCGAAGATCAAGCAAGTGAAGCCAGCTTTCATTACAGCTAACAATTGGACAGAAATTAACAGAATTTGGGAAACTGAAAAGAATCAGCAAATCAGTGAGCAGAATAAAAAGAATCGATCTTCTAGTTCTAGTGAAGGGTCTGCCACATAGGCTGGGGGCTCTATCAACATTGGGGAGCATCGAAAATTAATGGTAAGTCTGTTAAATAAGTTATAAGTTAATTTAATTCAATTACTCATGTTTACATTTTGTAGGCACATGAATTGGAGACGGAACCGACATTTGCAGCTACATTTGAACGCACATTTCAAAAAAAACGATAAGACATGGACTGACGATCGAGCAAAAGCTATTAAAGTATGTAAGGTTATACTTTGGACTTTATGGAAACTAGAATGAAAACCGTGAATGCTTTTAATATTTATGGTAGTTATATATATGAAGTTATTTTATTTTCATCTATATTATTAATGTAGGAAAAATATGATGAACTTTTAATGAGCAATGCTAGTGGTGGTGATGGTGTTGCTGCATCTGAGCCATCAGTTGACAGTATGGCATTATGGGTGGAAGCAACGGGTGGGATGAAAAAAGGAAAAATATTTGGGATGGGATCCTTGTCAAGGGTATACACGACGAATCATGCTGCAACTTCATCCTCCAATGCGGCTGTTCCAAGGAGGATACAACTTAAGGAGCAAATGACCCAAGAATTGAACTAACTGAAAAATATACTTGTAGAGAAGGACGGAGAAATAAATGACTTGAAACAACAAATGCAAATCGTTATGCGACACCTCAACCTCGATCACGATGAGGTTTCTCCTGTACCTCCCGCCAATCCAATAGGTGATGGGCACAATGATGAGCGACACAATGATGCTGAGATTGCTGATGATGATGATGATTTTCTCGGTCCTTTCTAGTTAAAATTTCCAAAATCTGGGCTAAGCTTGCTTCACAATCTTTTGTGCCATAAGTGCAGTTTGCCCAATATGTTCATGCCCTACAATTACTTTCTGTGCACAACTTTCTTACAACTAGGTTCTTTGCTTACGAAAAACTGAAAATTTAGAGATCCCGGGATGACATGCTTGTTACAAAAAATCATGATATTTGAACATTGTAGAAACACATGCCTTAATTGACTTTGAGTCTTCTCTTCCTGGGAATTGGTGTTGGTAATTCACCTCTCTAAGTCATTAAACTGTTGAATGCTGTATGGAGAAGGATCTAATTTTTCGTAGGTGACAGAAATACGATTTACAAGGGTGAAAAAACTACAGTGGATGTCAAAGTTGACTCATATTCATATGTAAGAACATTGATGTTCGTCCTGAAACGTTTTTTTGTTAACCCTCCTACTTGTTTTTTTATACCTAGTTCCACATCCATGCATAAATGCTTCTTTTATATTCTGGACTGATTGAATATCTTTATTTATGTATCCACATTTCATCAGGTGTGGACAAAAGTGACTGCTTCTGGTGTCCTGCCGAGTACCAAAGCTGCCCAATCTTGTGTTTGGTTTGTCGATTTTTCGTTTTTGAAGCAGAATCTATGGTTGTCCCGCCTCCTTTGAATGTTTTGAATGTATTATAAGATTGGATATCAAATAGCATCATGTCAGACTTCGCAACTTTGCATATATCATTATTTTTTGCGGACTAGCATCTTTCCTTCAGTTATATTTTTCAATTATATGGCATTGTGTCTGGTTTGTTCGTTTTCTGTTTCTGAAGCGGAATCTATGGTTGTCTCGTGTCCTTTGATTGTTTTGAATGTATTACATGATGTTCATTAATACGTAGCAATTGCTATGGACAAGATTTGATGGCCCAAATTGTGTATAATTTGCGACGAATATTTAGCGACGAATTTTGCGACCAATACAGTTCGTGGCTAATTTGCAACGAATTTTGCGACGAATACAGTTCGTGGCTAATTTGTGATGAATTATTTGCAACGAATAAAGTTTGTGGCTAATTTGCGACGAATTTTGCGATGAATTTTGCGATGGATAAAGTTCGTGGCTAATTTGCGACGAAATTTCCGACAAATAAAGTTCGTGGCTAATTTGCGAAAAATTTTGCGACGGATAAAGTTTGTGGCTAATTTGCAACGAATTTTGCGACGAATAAAGTTCGTGGCTAATTTGCGACGAATTTTGTGACGAAATTTCCGACGAATTTTGCGACGAATAAAGTTCGTGGCTAATTTGCGATGAATTTTGCGATGAATAAAGTTCGTGGCTAATTTGCGACGAATTTTTTTCCGTCGCAATTTAGCGACGGAAATTGAAATTTTCCGTCGCAAAATTTTGCGACGCCGAATTAGCGACGGAATTTTTTCCGTCGCTAATTTCGTCGCAAATTCAATTAGCGACGGATTTTGCCAAATTTTTCGTCGCAAAATTCGTCACTAATCCCTTGTTTTTTTGTAGTGATGCTTAGGCACGAATAACAACTATTGTAGTGGCGGGAGGTGGTGGCGGACGGCGGCATGAGGTGGTGGCGGCGGGAGGTGGTGGCGGACAGCGGCGTGACTAGTGCAGACGACGGCGGTAGGAGGCGGACAACGGCCGGCGGCAGGAGGCGATAGGCGTGAGGAGGGCAGCTCACTGCGGTATGAGGTGGCGGACGGCAGCTCATGGCGGCCAACAACAAGAGGAGAGCGGCAACGGGAGACGGGTGGCGGCGGCCGGCAGACGGTAGGTGGGCGGTGGGTGGGCGACCGACTAGTAGAGAGGGCAAGCGATAAGAAGAATTTTTATTTCTTATTTTTGTTCTAGAAATATAAAAGTAGAAAATTTTTACTTTTCATTTATATTCCAAACCTATTTCTGAAATCAAAATTTGTTCCAGAAATAGAAAAATAAAATTGCGTTACTAAATGGATTTCTTTTCCAAACTTATTTTCGAAATAAAAAAATAAAATAGTTATTGTTCGCCGCCGGTGTTTGAATGTCAACTGTTTTGAAAGTGTCAACCCAAGATTGTTGCTGTAACATGGTCTCGATTTCTTGGGCAAGAAGAGCTGCAAAATATATGCATTTATCCCTCTGAATGCTCTTGTTTGGTGCTGACATGTAGGACTGCAATTGAGTCCAGTGGAGCCGTACTAGGCTCAAGCTCAACTCTAATCATGTACTCGAATACGGAAATTCGATCTGAGCTCGATCAAGTACTCTTTTTCCTGATCGAACTCTACTCTGTATATTACTCAATGTACTGGAGCTAGACTCAACTCAATTTGATTTTAAATATATAAAACCCCGAGTGTAAGTTTTCCCGGCTCAATCGAACTCAACTTGACTCGAAATACTCACATTAGCCCTTTTTGGTAATGTTTATAATCATATCAAAGGGTGAAAGTGTAATTACATATACGAAGGTTATAATATAAGTCTATTTAATATAATCTGTCGCCGAAGTTAAAGCAAAATTTATATAAAAAATGAGATACTCAATAAGGTCCATGAGTCAATGAGTCAAATATCTTTAGACTCGAATTCGACTCGACTCGAGCTCGAAAAATATCGAGCCAATCTCGAGCAGGCCGTTCGTCGAGCATAGAGATGGCCACTAGACGGGTTTGGGACAGCTTATCAAAGGCTGTCCCTTACAACCCCTGTCGGAGCAGCCCACGGACCCCTACCCGCTCACCGGGGAGCGGGACCTGTGCCTTTTGTTGAACGGGGAGTATGAACCACACTCTAACACGAAATAGGAAATCTCGATATATTTGTTAGCTATATTTTACCGTATTTATAGATTTCTCCGACTTGTGTGTTGTATGACGTACTTAAGAAATCAGCTCGTTAACGACTTGTCGGAATCACCTGCCCAGATTACTCGCTTGCGGCCATGATGTACTTAAGCATGTACGTCACGGCAGATGAGGCCATGAATGGCTGTTTAATATATCTGCAATCAAGTCTTACTTCTGTTGAAGGGCTTTAGGTCAATATCACGTGCTGTGCTATGTCGAAACTGAAAAAATTCAGAAGATGAAAATGCGTATCAGTATGTAACAACAGTGCACAGACAACGTTTGGCAGGATCGATTCATATATTTGATGGAACGCACGGAATGGTTCTGGTACATTGACGCGCGGAGTCATATTTAAAAGTGCATGGAAAGTTATTCGGTACACGAGTTGAGACTGGTTTGTGATACACATATAGCAAGAGACGGTAACACGAGGGAACTAGGCAAAGAAACTGAGGTACTCATCCACAGTTGTGTATTTCACTTCCGGATAGAGCTCTGAAGCCTCTGCTCCGATCGAAGCATCTATCTCATAGTTTGCGGCATCTCCCTTCACAAAGGTTGAGTGGGTTATGGCCAAAATGATGTTGATGGGCAGTGGAGACTCTACAACAGTCAAAAATAGGGAAAACAAAGGTAAACATTGGGCTTTAACCAAGAAAAACCATCAAACGAAAGCTGATATCTTTACGTGTGTTTCCTGTTTAAATTGCTTCCAGGTATCCACTAACCTTGGATCTTCTTGAGGAGCTCGTCTTCCAAGAGATATGTCTTCTCGAGGGTCGTCCCGATCTTCTTCTCCCAGAGGGAAACAATCTCGCTGAAGCTCAGAACATTTGCCGGCGGTCTCAGGTAGAGGATCTTGTTCAGAGTTCTCGGGTCATCCACTGCCTTGATAGTGTATGTGGCAATATCTTCCTCCTTGACAAAAACAACTGACACAGAACAGAGAACAGAGATTAAGCAGGCACTTCTGAAAGTCAGCCATAGCATGTCTCGAGTAATCGAAAAAAAGATCAATCATAGAGCTTAGATGAGACACAGGGCTACCGAAATAATTTCCTTGTTTGCCTAACGACATTTCTTATAATCTGACACGATACAATCACCCAGCCACTTCACAAAAAAATTTGGGAGGAGCATCATATTTACTCTACAGACAACATCTAATGTGCATTCCAAACTATCACAGGTTGAGTCTATTAGACGCATTTCAGGCAAACATCTCTCCGAAATCTGCTAGATCTAAATTGCTCATGAAACCAAGCCAAGTTCAGAGTAGTTTCGATATGCATAAGATGGCGGCTGGTTACGCCTGAGATCGTTAGTGTCTTCTGGGATTGTGAATGTACTTGATTATAATTCAAAGTACAAAACAAAAAGTTGGCCTTCAAAACTATTCACCTTTTGGATTTCCGTCACCTATGATTGTGATTTTGTCCCTTGGAGGAGCTTTCGCACCCATCTGTCCCAAGGTTGGAAGAAAGTATCCAGCGAAGCCATTCGATGCAACATAAGTGAAAGGGATTCCTTCGGCCTCAATTGCTCTCCTGATCTTAGCTTTGGTGCCAAAAAGGGTCGCCGCCGGCTCGACCGCATTGGTACGGTCCACGTCAGTACCGAATTCAGAAGGAAGGAACCTCTACAGAATTTATGAACATCTCTAAAAAGAGTTCCAAACAAGGGAACACAAGCTAATGTAATGACATTATCCCGAGGAAAACAGAAAATATATCCTTATCAATTTTGGGTAGTAGGCGTGCAACTATAAAAATTGTACTTTCCGAAGCTTTTGTTAGTGTATCCATCTCTATTTTTTGACATATTTACAGCGCAAAATGAACCCATTAGGAATGATTCATGGGAAAAATAACGACGAAATGAATAGCTTATATATTGAATATGAATTTCCAAAACTTAAGAGCATCATAAACAACACCTTCTGTAATACAAGAAGGTAAATAGCAGTTCCATCTTTTTCATTGACAATGCTTTTAAAAACTATCAATTAGTGTCACTTGCCTTAATATTTCCGGCTTCTTTGATTGCTGCAATGATCTTAACCTGACCGGCAAGCTGCATTCCTCTCACTGCCGAGATCACGACATCAACTTGCTTGATTGCCGTCACCAAGCTCTCGTGATCATAGATATCTCCCTGCAAAGTCGAATAGAACACAAATCTAATGTGAGATTATGCCACCAGGTGGCTGAAATGCAGCAAGAAGTATTACTTTCCAAAAAAAAATTTTGGTATCATACATAAACTACCGAAATCCCCGAGCTCCTGAAGCTTTCGATGAGCTTCGACTTCTCGACATCAGAAGCCGTGCTCTCTCTAACCAATGCATAAGTGGGGTGACCCGCTTTTGCACTTGCCTCCACCAGGTGCTTGCCAATGCATCCAGTCCCTCCAATGACCAAAACCTTGCTCTTCTCTGCCATTTTTGTTGTTGTGATACTGATCAATGCGGAAGCTAAATCCGGGATCTTGCAATTTATGTCAACACGAATATAGCCAGAGAAATAACGATAGACACGCGATATTTACGTGATTTGGTCCGATATATCGGAACCTACATTCACGGGTAGAGTCAGCACCATATAATCCACCGAAATTGGAGAATCCAAATTTACAATCGCTCACTCATACACTCGTGTATTTCCCGCGTTCAGAATGTCCTTCGTGCGGCACAAAATGCCCGTTCTCCTCCCACGAAGGACCCACTGGCCATTTCTTCCTCACTTGTGCAGCTTCGGCTCTTTTTCAAGAGCTACTGTGCGGTCATTTCAAGAGGAGAGACAGAGCACACTCAAGCTCTTCACTGTGCGGCTCATATAGCACGCACTCTTCTCAATGAACACTCTTGCGGCTGACGCCAAGAAGAAGAAGAAGAGGAAAACCTGGGCTAGACCAAAGAGCAAAGCCCTTGAAGCTAGCCCCTTGCAAAAGGACAAAAGAAAGAAGGAAAAGAATTGGTAGAGCAACCAATCTCAGTGTATGCACATTGCAAAAGGAATCAGATGCAATAAATTTACCATGCATTTGACCCAATCCAAACTTTTATATTTTTGTTTTCTCTTAATGTCGGTACTTGTTATGTGTTTCGGCAAACAGGATATATAGCACATCAACTCCGAACCGACAGAATTCAAAGGTATGATCCATCCCAAGAACCCCATCTAACTTATTGTCCGGGTTCAAGCCCTATTCCTCCATTTCTCTGCATTTGCATATTCTATTGTTAGGCCTCTACGATTTTGAGTGTTGACCATGCCTAAGTCTTTCTTTAATGGCAAACCAACGAACGCAATCCTTGCAAAAAAAAAAAAAACGGTTAATATAACAAAAAAAACTCAAACTGATATACCTGTGACAATTTTATCTCGAACTAATTTTTTGACTCCCAAAAACCCTAAACTGAAATATCTGTGATAAATTTACCCTGAACTATTTTTTTGACTACAAAAAACCCCACACTGATACACTTGTGACAATTTTATCCGAATTAATTTTTTGACCACCAAAAACCCTAAATTGGTACGCCTGTGACAATTTTACCCAAAACTAATTTTTTTAACACTAAAAATCTCAAATTGACACATTTATGACAAATTTACCCTCCGTTAGTATCCGTTAAATTGGATTAATATCACGAAAAATCACAAATTTGTAAACTTGTAACAAACAGAGGGGTAAAACCCCAAACCGGTACACAAGTCAACTACCACGTGTCATCAAACTTAGCAATTTGATAAAAAAATTTAACGGAAGGTAAATTTGTCACAAGTGTACTAATTTGGGATTTTTGGTAGTCAAAAAATTGGTTCGGGCTAAAATTGTCACAGGTGTATCAATGTGGGGTTCTTGGTGGTCAAAAAAATAGTTCGGGGTAAAATTGTCACCGGTGTACCAGTTTGGGATTTTTTGTGGTAAAAAAAATAGTTTTTGGTAAATTTGTCACAGGTGTACCAGTTTGGGGTTTTTCGTGATATTAACCCAAAAAAAAACTATCAATCCTTTTTTAACGAATAGAATATTTTTTTTTCCAAAATTATGTGTTCTCTATCTGCTTGAGTTTCTATATGCTGATGCAGAAGGAACATTCCATCATCCTAGGTTTTGCTTGATCCCACAAGAATCCACGCTCTTTTAAGGCTTGAACCCACCTGTCTCGTCAATATTACAGGAAGCTTAGACAGAGAAGGCCGTTTGAATGTCACTGTTTGGAAAGTGTCAGCCCAAGATTCTTGCTGCAACATGGTCTTGATTTCTTGGGCAAGAATATGCAACCACATCAATTTTAGATTGTTGTATAGATTGTATAAATCATAAAAAACAAAGTAGAGACGATGTATTCCAAAACAAAAGTAAATTGCACAACTTGAATTCTATTTTGGGTGTATACAGTTACATAGGTGGCCTTATTTAATTCTTTTAGAAGAGTAAAAACATGTTAGTAAAATAGGTCTTGAGTTCGGGTTTCAGCTTACCCGCTAGACAAATCCGAAACTTGTCCCAAGTTCTACAGGATTTTGTAGATAAAATCTCAAACCCATCCCGCAACCCAAGGACGGGGCAAGTATCCTTTATGACCTGACCCAACCCATTGCCATCCCAAGTCAAGATCCCCCCAGTCGAGGACAAGTAACTTCACTCATTTGCACCCCTACTGAAATGATTAAATATACTGATTCCAAAAATAATACCACATTACAGGTCAAAGAAGCTGGTAGTTGAGACGCGCAGATGCACAAGCTAACCATTAGGCAACTAGTTTCTTGAAGACTAACATGTGATTGATCTCAATCAGTGAGAAGAACTTCCCAACCTAACCCGTCAAAACTTTGATTAATCACTTTAAATAGAATATACACTGTAGTGGTTGAATCCTAAGATAAAGCAGGGGCGGTGGCGCCCGAAGGTAAATTGCAAATCTGTATTTACAATTCCGGAAGGGAGGTTTTTGGAGCTATGGTTGGCAACCAATCGAGTAACGCCTTGTTGACAAGTTCCGGGACTTCGTCGTGAGGGCAGTGGCCCGCCTGAAGGTTGACTAAGGACGTGTTTGGGTAGAACTGCTGGATACGAATGGCCTTTGTGGGACCGACCCACGGGTCTAAATCGCCCCAAATTAACAGCAGCGGGCACGAGAGTTTGCTCAATATGCTGTCCAGGGTATATCTGCTCTGGTTCATCATGAAGCGCGACATTAATCTGCACCGACATATTTTTTCACTTCAGCATAAACAGAATATACCTTTAAAGAAAAGGAAAACTGGGACAAATCTGATCGAGTTGAAAGGAAATCATATGGAGTAAGTTGAAGAAATCATGACAACATGACTACCTTATGTAGATCACACTTAGGAAAAGAACATCAATCTGTACCTGTAGTAAACTTCTCCAGCATTGGGGTCCGCCGCCGGCATAGTTATTGACTCGATAAGATAGTCATCCACATTTGAGGAATCTACGTAAACCTGGAGAAGCAGAAAAACTGGTTCATGTGGCAGCCAAAAAATAATTAGCATTGCACGAATAGAATCGGGGAGTGAAAAAGATAATCATTTATTTGACATGAGGAGCTAGAGTCTATCTAGACACCATCAGAGGCCTTGACGCAGTTGTCGCGACAAGCCTGCCTCCGCAGTGTAAGACCTAATATTTTGCTCATCTGGTCAGGGCAGAGTGGCTGAACCATTTAGGGAATTTTGAAACTCTGTAAATCTAGACAGCTCATCCTCATTCGGGTTCACTTGGCTCAAAAAATGTTCTATTTGGAGTCCGATTTGACAATCATGGTCTCGGCAAAGAGGCCTGACATGACCAGGAGCAATCTCAATCTGCTCCTTTTGGGATTCATAGGCACCAACCAATTGGGACACTTAAAGTTAGCTTGGAAGTCAAATCTCTGAGACACTTGAAGTAAAATTGCAATATGGCAACATAACTGAAGTCAGCCCACAAACATAATCAGAAAACACCAGTCAAGTTCAGCCTGTGAGTTTCTCTTAGGGATTTTGTTAAAGAGTAGTCCAGAGGAACTTTTTAAATGATTAAAATAGAAGTTACAGTTTTCAATGCACTGTTAGTTTTGTATTATGCGTAATCAGTGCTTTGGAAATTGAAAGTTTCATGTTTAAGCATGTGCAAAAAGTACCCTGGGACTCTCATTAACAAGACCGTTTTCTTACAAAATACATAAGTGAAGATTCAAGCATCAGAACAGAACACGAGGGCGTCTGTCTAAATAATCAAGAATAGAAATTGAAGAAATGGAGATTCCGTAGTTAGCTTAATTCAGGCACATTGTTTTATTGGCTTCCGCAGCCTGAACAGAACCTAAAACTGGAAAGTATGGCATCGACTTGCCTGAAACAGTCAGTTCTTTTCAATTTTTTTCCTACTCTCTCCATTTTTATTTCTTCAAATTTTAAATACCCAAAGCCTAAATCTAACGATCAAGTTTAGGTATCGCATTTCCCTTTGCTGGGAGGTAATGCTGCCTCTCATGTATATGATCTTAAGCCATTCAAATTTTTGTGAGAGTGGAGATTGAGCGAGAGAGCAACATACACTCTTCAAGACAGATTCAATACGAGCTGGTTGCTTTGCTTGCCAGAACAAAAACCCGAGGAATATCCGCTGAAAAATCTCCTTCAGTGGCTTCACGACAACCTTCTGCAAAACACTTTCTTCAGAGTTCTTGACTTTAGCACTAGGGTTTCCAAACTGTCCTGCAGAGTTGAGCAGTACTACTCCGGCGACTTGCTCAGGCAATCCCCCAGCAGATACCAAAGCAGTGAACCCTCCAAGGCTGTACATTAACAAGAATTCACGCTTATGTGAAAAGACAAGTTATTGTGAAAAGTCAAAAAGTAAGTTGTGTTTGGTTATGGAGATATTACTCAAAAAGGTTTTTTTCGATTAATCCTGTTGCAATTTTGCCGAATTTCTATAAATGTGTTTAGTACACCATTTTCAATCCATAAATTTTTGTATTCTTTTCACAAAGCTTTCTTTATAACAATGGTATGGTTCTTTTTCGCCCTATAACTCTGGTTGAAAATCAAAAGATCAAGAAAACAGGAAATTTCCGCCTTACTGCCAATCCATCTCAGTTGGGAAATGCAGAAATCAATCTTTTGTACCTTTCAAGCTTCAAGAAAACCATCATAGTTTTCAGAAAATTTAGAAACGAGGCAGGTCATTCATTTTATCCTGGAATAATCTACAAAAGGGTAAGGCCGACTTCTGGTGTGATCTTCGGTCCATATTCGACATATAACCCTTTTATCTCATACACATGTGCTTTACCTTCGAGACCCAATGCTTCATAGCGGTTCATTCATTTTAGTATCATTGCCATCAATACCAGCATCCAGAGATAATAAACGCCATATCAGATTAGCAGGGAGTACACAAATCAAAATATTCTCTATCAAAACGACATATCAATTATGTTACTCACAGGGAAAGCAACAGATACACAACACAAATTCAAATATTCCTATAGGCCAAAAGCAGAGGAGATTCAATTACTATAACCTTTAATACCTGTTGCCAACTAGAACTGCAGGCTCCCTCACTATATCCTTCAGGAAATCAACAACTTGATCCTTCCATATCATTGAATCGTATTCAACCAGTGCTTTCTCACTCCAACCAAATCCCAGTAAGTCTATAGCATAGACTTTGTAGCTTTTAGCCAATTCAGGAATGTTATACCTGCATATATGCAGGCAGAAAATCCGCGCATTTTCAAATGAGCGAGTGAACACTTTAGTCCTAATGTAGCAACAGAAAATGGCCAATGAAGAGCAAATGTTGCGAGTATAGTGAAGCCAAAAGTAAAGCCAAACTCTGTAGGCATCATGATATCAGATAGTGACTTGGCAGAACATACCCTAATTTGATTATGTTCAAAAGAGAGTAAACCTCTTATACAGGCTTGGCACTCTGAGAGATTCCAAAATGGGTTGACGGACACTTGTGACAACTGAAGAAAAGACCTAAGCATCGCCATGCAAGTGGTTATGTGACCTTTCTCGTCTGATGCATAATGCTCCCAATCCACTCTGAAACAATGTGAAAAGGAAAATCGACCGCTAACGCATCACACCCAGCAAGATGTGAAACTAATCTTGTTCCCTGACAAGTTATGTCCTAAGTCCCTAACAAAAATCTCGTTCACTGGAGATAGACCTGATTCTTTGCAGGAGATTGAAACTGCTCGAACCAAGGAAATATGTTCAAAGAGTTTCCTAGCTACAAAGCTCATCCTATCAAACTTCCTCCACCCAGTTCCCCAGAAGAATTCACGGGTTAACATTGCATTTAAGAAACTCCAATTCCTACAGCCCTTTTTATGTTGCCGACACTTTTCTTTTCTCAGCAGCAGCCATAACAAAAACTACTTGAAAAAAAAAAAAGAACTGCTCTATGGTAGCTAACTATTAACCAGTATTTCCCATTTCCTCGTGCAAAGTAATTTCATGCAGCCATGTTAAAACTGGTGGATCACAGAAGATAGAATTGTATGACAAACCTCCAATGATACGCTGACGCACCAAACCCATGAATCAGAACAACCGGAAACCCCTCCCCCTGCACCACGTAATGTATTTTATGACCTCGCCATGTCCAGTAGTTGTACCCTTCCGGCTTGAAAGGTAACCTATCCGCTCCTACAGAATAAATAAACAACACAACCACCTTTGAGCACAATCTTACTAAAATTCCATAATGCACCAACAAAAGGGAAAAAAAAGTCGAATAACGATAACACGAATTTCCCCCTTGGAGCTATTCTTGGATAAAGAACAGAAGCAGGTTTACATACCGAGCTCGCGAAGTCACCAAAAATTAACCCATCAAACAAACAGATCAACTTGGGCACTTACTGAGAATCCGCAAAGACTACACCCCAGCAATCTCAAGCATCAGAAGTGGGCTTCGCCACAACAGTCGCGTGTATATAGTTAAAATTTTGTAAATTAAGCTTTTCAATCTTCATTAACTCAATGAGATGTAGCTAAAATCACTGACCTTTGACGGGTTCAGTCAATAGGGACGACCCAGCCATCGCAACACCCGACGCCACGATTCCTCCGAACGCAAAACTCCTCCTACCCAAGTGACACTCGCCCCCTTCAAGCGGAAACAGCAAAAGGTGAAACCGAGACACGCAAGGACACGAGCACCCATTAAAGACGAAACGCTCGCAAAACCAAGATCGAAAAATTCACGGCAGGTTCCGAGGAGGGGACCCCCCGCAAGCTTACTTCGCCCGCGAACTCTCGAGGGCACGAGCAATCTTTGACGACGACCCGGGTCCACGAAGTCGGTTCTTGAAGAAGGGAGCACGGCACAGGAAGAAGACATGGGATCTTCTATATGATGGGGCAAGTCTTCAGGCGCAATGGGGGGGCTAAAGAAGCTGTATCACATCAAGAATTCGATACGTTTTCCTACTTGGCACTGCTTGGAGAAGAAGAACGGAAGCCATTTCTGATCTTTTGCTCGTGTGTGTGGCGAGCGTAGCTCCTGGAGTTGTGGCCGACGCGGAGCCATTTGATGGTTTTGCCTTGGGAGTGTTTCTTCCGGAGGAGAGAAGCTCGTGCAGCGCGAAAAGTGACGTCATAATTTCTCCAGCGGGACAATAAACACCGTCGGTTCGAGATTATTGAATTTGTGCAATAGAGCCTTAAATCTTAATTACAAAAGAAAAATAAGAGAGCAAGAATTTCAAATCTTTATACAATAAAATCTTAAATGTATTAGTGTAACCGAAGTCCTATACATTTGATAAGAAAAGTATGATCTAATCATAAATTAAAAAGTTTCGTTAGAAGCTAAACATCGGGTCTTAAATCTCTATCAAAACGGTGATCAAGTTGTGCGACCATAGTGAAGAATGAAATTAAAAGTTACCGTCGTAACACAAACAAGTTATGTTACTGGTCACGAAAACTTATTATTATACTGGTCGGAAGGTTTAGGAATAGATTACATATCGTACCAAAAAAAAATTTAGGATATTTAATGTGCTTCTTCATTTAACTTTTCTAAGAGGATAATTTTACATGAATTGATGAAAAACATTTTATGTGCCCAAAAATCTATACTTAAATTTAGAAAAAACAAGTTTGCGCCTCCTCCTAAAAGCTTAATTTCATATTGTGAAATCCAATTTGGGGGCAGGACTCGAGACCTTTATCGCTTGAATCCTAGATCCCGAGGGCCAAATCAAGGACATTGAACTTAGGAACTCCTAGGCTGGACACAAGATTTTGCCTTTGGACATAACATTCGAGGATCAAACTCGGGACCTCGAAAGATTGAACTCAAGATGTCTATTCCCCCGATGTGGTGCCTAATGCTCAAAAGCGATCATGAGAATCAAACATCGAATCTAGGAACGAGACTTGAGAACTCACTCATTGGAAAAGCAATTATATAGTTTCAATGATGTTCGATTTCGCCGGAATTTGCCTCGATGAAATACCTTTCAATAAAAGCCGTTCTAGATAGATCTTGACATGAAATATCACGGGTACACAAAGAAACCGGTAGATATATGTTAATGTATACAGGATAAAAATACAACGTCGAAATTTAATTGATGACAAAGCATCCGAAAATTACGGCAAATATACACGTCGCGATTTAATTGATGACGAGATAATTGGAAACTACAATAATTGACCAAGATAATTCACATAAAAATAATTGATCGCACTGCTTACGAAAATGAATAAACGAAAAATAATTTTATCGTTTGGGAAATTGTCGGACCAAAATTGAAAAAGGGGAATTGTCAGATTGACAATTTTTTTTGGGCGACGCTTTTTCCATTTCTCATTTAGCTTAAACACTCTTTTGTTTTGACCAAATTATCCTTTGTGTGGCCCACCATTTTTGTTGGTTAAAAAAAACTCTTTTTGTTTTGTTTCTTCCTTTTTTACCTTGCGGGTCCCACTTTCCTCCTCCTTCTTTCTTTATTTCTGCATCTTTGATGTCTCAGTTCTCGGCTCTTGCAAAATGTCTCTATGTTTTCTCTCTCGCAGGTAATTCTCTTCTTTTTACGCCTCCCTACTCCTTGAATTGCAGGGTGTTGATGCAAGGTTGGCTTGCATTCACACTAATAAAGATCGATTTTACAAAGACAACGTAAACATACATTGGCAATCCCAACACCAGTACATAGTTGCTAATGACAATCGACTAATAATTTTCCAAGTCAATCTTATGGCTTTTGTCCAGTGATATATGGCACTTGGAAAACATAAGCATTTACACACACAACACTTTGGCCTTTCTGTCATGAACGAACACGATGCATCGATTATCTCAACTCATGTACAAGATGCCGTCAGAAGTTCAAAAAGAAAAACTTCACAGAGTTGCAAAGAGTCACAAATTGAGCTAGACATAAATATCATTGGGTACAGTAGAAAATGGCTTCAACATAACAATGTTGAATGTACGCCAACTTTCAAGTTTAGAGCCGGAAAACTTTATTCAACACGTGAATGTGACATCATACCTAATTCAATGGTGTAATATGTAATAAAAGAGCTCATTGCCTTATCTTATCTAAAACCTTATTATGACTACCGACTTAAATCCTCAGCAACTGTCTACTGATGTTAGTGTTGCTAATATATTTTTACCTTGTTTTTGTGAATTCGGTTTTTATTAATGCGAATGCAAGCCAACCTTGTTTCAATGCCCCACAACTTGAGGAGTAGGGAGGGATAAAAAGAAGAGAATGGCCTACAAGAGAGAAACACATAGAGACGTGGTGCAATTAAAAGCGTGGAAAGAATGAAAAAGAAGAAAAGTGGGATCCATAAGGAAAAAAAGAAGAAGAAACAAAATAAAAAGAGTTGACCAAACAAAAAAAGATCACAAGGGATATTATGATAAAAATATAAAGGGATAAGTGCATTGAAAGTCATAAAACTTGTCACGAAAGTGTAATTGAGTCCTAAAATTTTCATAATATGCAATTAAGTCCTAAAACTTGTTACGAAAGTGCAATTGAGTCCTAAAACTTTCAAAAATTGCAAACAAGTCCTAAAACTTGTCAAATTAGTTCAATCAAGTCCTTTTATTGATTGCATATTTTGAAAGTTTTATGACTTGATTGTACTTTCGTGATAAGTTTTAGGACTTGATTGCGTTTTTGTGACTAGTTTTAGGACTTGATTACATTTTTTGAAAGTTTTAGGACTCAATTACACTTTCATGATAAGTTTTAGGACTTTTAGGGCACTTATCCCTAATATAACAAATTAGGATGTCTAAATTAAAGGAGGAGCGGAAAAAGCTCCACTGTTTTTTTTTCGTTTTTTTGGGTATTTTCCCAAAGAAAAGGAGAGATTTGTCTCTTCTTCCATCTGGAAAATAGAACGCCGAAGTGACCCCTCGTTTCCGACGCCGTCGGCCTCCGCCGCTACGAGCGGGCGATCCGAAATCCTCGCGTGAAGAACTCTCTCGCATTTCTCGAACGCTTCGACCCGTCCCTCACCGATGGAAGCTCCCGTCAGGAAATTGGCCTCTTCCGCCCTCCACCGCCGCCTCCTCCTCCACCACCACCACCACCACCCGTCTCGGCAAACCGTCCGCCCCCCTCCGTTCCCATTCCTCCTCCGCCGCCGCGCCGCGGTTGCCGCGCGAAGCCGCTCCTTCGCCGCCGCTTGCGCCCACTCTCGGGCCCCCGCGCCGGGCTCGAGCTCCCTCAACCTCCCTTCGTCTCTCTCCTCACTTCACCGCTCGTCCAATCCCGTGCCTCCGGGCGCGGGCGGCGGCCCTCCGTTCGCGGACGCGCGCGACGGTTCCTCCCTCGCCTCCTGGAGCCGAGCTCCGGCGACCTCAGCCGGCGCGAGGGGCGGGGTCCGCGGCGACGGGGACCCCGCCGTGACCGTGGTCCTGCTGGGCTGGCTCGGAGCGAAGCGGAAGCACCTGAGGAGGTACGCGGAGTGGTACAACTCCAAGGGGTTCCACGCGGTCACGTTCCTCGTCGGCGTCAGGGAGATGCTTTCGCTCGATTTGGGTCGCGGCGTCGAGGACCGGATCGACGAGCTGGCGAATGAACTGATCGCTTGGGTTTCGGAGGGGGAGGAGGGCGGCAGAGAGCGTTGCTTGCTCTTCCACAGCTTCAGCAACACCGGGTGGCTTGTGTAGGTTGATCGATCTTGATTACTTTCATTAAACGGTGGATTGAATTTCCTGAGCTTTTGATCTTTAGGATTGAGAATGTCTTGATGGGTTAAAAAATTTGTTAGAAATCTTGTATTGGTCAGGTATGGTGGGATACTGGAGAGGCTGCATTGTAGGCAGGATTTGATTGAGAAAATCAAAGGCTGCGTTGTCGATTCCGGAGGAGCCGAGCCGTTTAATCCAAAGGTGAATTAAGTAATGTTCTGCTCTCTCGTTTGATATTCCCTTTCTGTCGATTATCTACATTTGAAGGATAAGCGCAAAATCTTTGGTCTGGTTCGTGTGAGACTTTGCTGTTTAACTCTTTACTTGGTTACTGTTTCTGTTTTGGTTATCCTTTGATTCTATTCTATGATGGAATTCATACCATATTCAGTGCAGAGTCGTCTTGGGAATTATTGCCGAGTGAAATTGTTCTAGTGGAAGTGTTCTGTGGTAGTTTTGTGTTTGCAACAATGCATCATTAAGTTGCAAGTCTTATATCCTCCCTTGATTTGAAGCTCTAGCCGTTCGGTGTTGGACAATGCTATGAACTACAGCAGTCTAAATAAAGGCAGAAATTTATGCTCTTTTAGTAGCAAATTTCAGGTTTTAGTTTGAACTTATCATACTCTAGCTCATTTAAGTAACACAACCTTCAAGTTTACTTTATTGATACACTTCGCTTGTCAAAGTTATTGACAGTAACTATTCTCTGGGGAAAATCAGATGTTTAATGGGTATGACTATCAAAAATACATTTGGTTGCGAAGCCAAAAGAACGTGAGATGAAATCATAACTTTGCAGATCCTTGAATATAATGGCTTTGAGACTCTCCTTGTATTGGAGGAGGATGGCAAAGCTGCTTCTCCAAGGTACTTCACCCCCAAAAACCAAAGTATGCAGCTACTTCTGTGAAAAACGTACCAGTGAACTTTTGTATGACTCAGTATTTAGGTAGACGAGAATCATTGACCTAAATCTAAGTGTGAGGGGAACATATTATGTGACTGGTAGTGAATAGTGGCCTCTAGTGAGTCCTCAAGGAAGTTCGTGCACAGATATTAAGTGAGGAAAATGTTCTTTGCAGTTAAAATGGTATGGTGCATGTACAGAATCATGACTTTATTTGATTTTGAGCATTGCTCAACCAATAGGAGTCAATGTTATTGATGATATTGATCTCCATAGCATAGTGAGCTTTATGTAGACTACAATGCCTTTAAACCATATTTACTGACTGACTGATATTGTTGTCATGCGACATAGCACTGTATTAATCCATGACCTGGCCATCAGGTATATGAGAATAAGACCTAAGTGCCACTTTGACAGGAGAATGTACGGTTATTGTTGATCATGATCTCAAATGTTTCCGAGAGGAAATTTGGGCATGCAGACAAAGCTAAGGACATTAGCCTCTTAGTAGCTGACATGGTTGGATGATATAATAAGCTTGCATTTGATTTTGAAGGATATTAACTCGTTGATGAGTCAATTTAACCTCAAGAGACTCATTACTTGTTGATAGGGATGGACTTATAAGTACCATAGTGGGGGCTCTTGCCCTGGTCAATAGATGTTGAATTAGTTAAGGGTCTGAAAGTAATGCTAAATAACTTTAGGCTACAAAAATAAGTTTTGCCCCAATTAAAAACCTAAAAGTTTTATAGGTAAGTGACGATTGAATATTTTCATTTCAGATTGCCCTCACAAATAAACCAAACTCAATATACAATTTTGTAAATTATGTGCATGCAACTTGCTATAGATAAATATGAGCTGCACCATATTTATTTTTATTGGACTTTGAAGCTTTAAAGTACTACCTTAGTTACTAAAACAAATACGCTTGATTTAATTGTAATTATTCATCTATTTCTGCACCCAATAAAGAAAGTTTCTAGATCTGTCCCCGGTGATTAAGCTCGGATTTTATAGTTGGACTTCTTTCAATCTTGGCAGGTTTGGGCCGCCGGATTCTCCGCTGCTCTGATAACAAAAAGTAGCTCGTCAGTCGAGGGAAAAGATACACATGCATCAACTAGTGAAGGATCAAGCAAACAAGAAGATGAGGGGATGGTTGAAACAGCGGTCCTTGCAGCTTTGGAATGGCTCTTCTCTGCTGTTCTGAAGTTTCCTGATGTGGAGAGGTAATTGCGATACAAGCTTTGCCAGCCATTTGTTAAAAGAGATTAGAGTCTTCACCGTAATGATCAAATGTAATGGTTATATACTTCTGCGTTTGTAGGAGGCTTACAAAAACTGTCACTATCCTCTCCGAGGCGCAGCCATCTTGTCCGCAACTCTACCTCTATAGTTCAGCCGATAAAGTAATGCCATATGAATCCGTGGAGTCGTTTATGGAAACTCAGAGGAGGATGGGAAGAAAAGTGTTATCTTTCAACTTTGGATCATCTCCTCACGTGGACCACTATAGGACATTTCCTGATCTATACATGTCGCAGCTCGAGAATTTTATAAAAGAATGTTTTGATACAGTAAATGAATCCTGCAAACGAGGATGAGACCTATGACATTGATCGATCTCTCACTCTTCATGCTGGTAAACTGACCAAGTCATCTCTGGTGCTTGTTCCATTGCTGGTTAGTCAATGTTCTGCACTATAGGAAACTGCAATTCGTCTTTATTTTCTTCAGTAGTGATGGCCGGGGACAAAGGACAAACTGGGTTTCTTTTTTTTCTTTTTGGTCGAAATGACAAACTGGGTTTGACAACCTGGAAAGTATCCTTATTTTCCGGGAAAAATGACTTAAACGGTCACTGAACTTTGGCCAAATGTGCAATTTGGTCCATGAACTTTTAATTTGTTCAATATAGTCCCTGAACTTTGGCCTAATGTTCAATGTAGTCCGTGAACTTTTAATTTGTCTAATATGATCCCTAAACTTTTGGTACATATTCAATTTAGTCCTTGAACTATATGAAAATATTTAATGTAGTCCTTCCATTGAACATTTTCATGTAGTTCAAGGACTAAATTGAATATGTACCAAAAGTTTAGGGATCATATTAGACAAATTAAAAGTTTAGGGACCAAATTGCACATTGGGCCAAAGTTCAGGGACCATTTGAGTCATTATCCCTATTTTCCGTCCCCTGAAGACTTGGATTGCTGGAAATCCAAGAAGTGTGAAATGTGCATGGATGTTGGCTGAGCATAAGTTGATCTTGTTTACTATGATTGATTTTGATTGAGCTTCTGCAAGTGAATGGGATCTTCCAGCCATGCAGACAGATTGGAGCACCCTTTTTCCTCGCGGTGGTGTTTCATGAAGGATCAGTAGGTTGGATTCGATTTGAAGTACTTAATAGAGCTGATGAAGAGAGCAATGGAAGCGCATGTAATGAGAATTTACCGGCTGAAAATGTTTCGATTTGCTGGGGTATAGGCAGGTCTTTTGCTCGTGCTGCATCATCCTGTTGGGCGGTTCCTCTCGGCGAAAAGATGGACAGCACCGGTCACCGTTCTCGGGCCGCGGAAATGGCCATAGCAGCATGCTTTGCGAGAACAACAAGACCTTCAAAAACTCAGAAAATATATAAAAACAGACGAGTTGAGCATAAGTATGCTTTGCGAGAGAGTAGGGAGATCTTTCTGAAATCTTTGATTAATGAAAAAGATAAGGAAAAGTTAAAATATATGAACAATCAGGGTAAGGTGGTCATTACCAAAATTTCGATAATATAAGTATACGATAATCTATTTCGTGATATCAGTATATAAAGCAAAGCAAAGCAAAGCGAGCCTCCTACTTTTTAGGATATCCCAATCAATTTTATTTCCTTAATAAATATCCTTAAATTACTTGCTTTATAAATGTTGTCCGAGAGAAATGCATAAATTCATAAATATATATCTATCGTATATTTTTAATACTAAAGTTTCTGATATTTTCCTATTCCACGAGAAACTCTCTTCAACGAAAAATTCCAAATTCAAAAAAAATCATTTTTCTTTCTTTCTTTTTTCTACCGCGACGCTACTCGCCGTCTTCCCTTCCCCCCCCCTCTCTCTCTCTACTATTCCCCCCACCTTCCACCAAACCAAACCTATCTCTCTCTCTCTCTCTCTCTCTCTCTCTCTCTCTCTCTCCGTGCGTGTGTGTTATGCTTCGGAGGCTCGACACAGCCCTGCAACATTGACCCAAGACGAGGTTTTTCTTCTCCGCATTCCCCCCCCTCCGACATCCCATCGACCCGACCCCCGGCTTCCGTGTCCCCTTTTTGAGGGGGGAGCAAGAGCCTGACACCGTCGTTGTTTCCCGTGCAGCGTGGAGGACAGAATCAACTTTCCTCCGCCACCTCCTCCTTTGGTCCCGGTTTGGGTGCCTTTTTCTCTCCCCCCATCTCGCTCCGCTCCATCGCGCGCTCGGGGTGCTCGACGGAATGCCGCACCAGCCCAACACCCGCGATGGGTTTCGTGCCGTTCCCGTCGTGACGCGGTGCTTGACCCAGTAAAAATTTGCGTTCGGTTCGGGAGGTACGGCTTGGCCCCACCCCCCGCTTGGCTTCTAGCCTTCTTCTAGGCTTGCTTGCCCCCCTTGTGTTTTTTTTTTTTATCAGGACAAATCCGAATTATGGTCCAGATTCAATGTACTTTGACATGTCCGCCGCACTTTCTATGATTTCCCATATTGATCCCCTGCGCCATGAGCCTTTCTCCAAGTGTTACCAGACCGAGGAGGGATTAAAAAAGATTTGTTTTTTTGGTGGCTTTGCGTAGGCTTTGGGGCTCTTGTTCCCGTTTGATCTTTGCTTGGCGTGAATCCATGGCGGTTTCGGAGAATTTGCCGGTGGGCTCGACGATTCCGCCGCCCGACTCGTACGGCGCGGTCGTCCTCGGCGGTACCTTCGACCGCCTGCACGAGGGGCATCGCCTTTTTCTTAAGGTCGGTGCTCGTTCTCCCTCTGTATGCATAGTTGCGCACGGTCATATCTCTGCTCTGCCGGCTGGGAAAAATCGTTCTTGCTGTTCTGCTGCTTATCTTGGTGATGGGGTAGCTTGGTGAATGTGACGGTTCTTATGATTGAGCTTATCTGATGGGTAAAGACGGAAATTTAGGCATCCGCGGAGCTGGCGAAAGAGCGCATCGTGGTGGGCGTATGCGACGGTCCAATGCTGGCCAAGAAGCAGGTGCTTGTTTGATAATTATTAGCGAGCTATGTAGTTGTTGCATCTTTGCTAGTGCAGGCCAGAACAGATTGTATTTATGTGGACTGCGCAAACCTTCGCTGTTTTGTCTTTAGAAATTTGCTCAATCAGTAACTAGTGAGTGTTTCAGCCGTTTGCATTTCCTACGATATGTATATGCATACGAAGGTCTTGATTTTATGCAGTTGCAGGCCTTTGTTATATCATTTATTTAAAGATGATTGTAGCATTACTAAGCTGAAGCTAAGGGTCCATTGACTTTCTGTTCCAGATACAGTCCTTATGTTTCTTCCCTATAAGTTGGTAATTTGTTTACTTGCTACTTGAGTATTTGGGAAAGTAAAGCTGCGAGCAGACAGAGCTAATTGTCGGTAAAATCTTTTACTTTGGTCTGAGATAGAAACATGTTTTGAATGCACTTCCTAATTAATAATGCCCAAAGTGGCAAGCTCTTCTTGTTCTTGTATAAACAATCATGCCCTCGGGCATTGGTCAAGCTGTAGAATAATCCTATTGCAGACTCTCTTTATCTTCTATATTTACTCAGGGGTGTGATTATTTCTGTTGATTACTTTCCTTCCTCTGAAATCGTTGTCAATTTGCTCTGTTCGAGTATTTGTAGTTTGTTTTTGGGATATCTTGTAACTTTTGGCCGTCTAAAGGGTAAGTTTTTGATTGTTCATTCACTCATCTAACCATCTTCAAAAGAGAAATCCCTTAAAAAGAAATTCAATACCCTTTTTTTGGTTAGATTTTCTTTTTATTAGCGGCAAAACCTCGAGATACTTTCTTCTCCGTGTCTGAGACCTTACTTCTACGACTACTCGACTTTTGCAATCTCGACAAAATCTCCTTGAAGTCTTTTCTATCAAAGTATATGTCTTTCTCCTTTGCTGCCATTCAACAACAGCCGGTCTTAACCCACCCATGGGTAGCTCAGTTGGTTAGGGCGTACTTGGGATTGCGTGGTTAGGCGCACTGGTCTCAGGTTCGATTCCCCAGCTGAGCACTTGTGATTTAAGTGGGGGGCCATGGCGGTGGGTTGCTGTGCTAGTTTCCCCCGAGGAATAGTTGAGGTGCGCGCAAGCTGGCCCAGACACCTTGGTTACCAAAAAAAAAAAAGAAAAAAACAACAACCGGTCTTAGCTCTGCACATTCCTAGAACTGAAGTGAAAGAACCCTCAATTCAATTGCTTCAGCTCAAGTCCTTCCTTTTGGATAAAGTTCACAGCCTTTGTTTGGGAGTGTCTTTACAGGCGATTTCCTTGAAATAGTGGTGAAGTTTTTTGGTAGAGTTTAGGAGTCTCTGAGATATTTTTTTACAAGAGGAGGTGCCAGTTGGTTTATACTTTTGGCTTTCTAAAAGCACCTATTGGAGAGGAAGGGATTTACTACATGAGGAGATGAACGAAAGATAGATGGCCATGGGACTATCGGAATAGACTGTTTGAAAGAAGGATGTTAAGCTGCTAGTGATTGAAAGTAAGCTTGGTTTTCTATCATCTTAAGAACTACGACATAGTATATGGTATGATGTAGTATGTGGTAGAATTACAAAACTTGTCCCGCTGGTGACATTTTTTTTCATGTTATAGTAATCTAAACAAGAAAATTTGCTATCGAAGGTGGTTGTGGAAGTGTGAGCTATTGCCATTTCCTGTGCTCAAACATTTGGTTTGGTGATGATAGATGGTCTCGTGGCTCTTGCCCTCTCATTCTCCTTCATTTGTTCACTCTAGAGTAATGGCCAGATTATTTTATTGCAGTTTGCTGATCTAATACAGCCAATTGAGGAGAGAATGCAAAATGTCGAGAACTTCATCAAGGTAGTCTTCCGTTAATGTTTTCTGATCCCTATAATTTTATCTCAAAAGAAACCCTTACGTTTTACCTTTCTGTCTCTTTCTGCAAATTGTTGGAAGTAACTTTAGAACTAGTCGAGAAATAGAATTCCCAGTGCAAATAATGCACTTGGTGCTATGGACCGATTGTTGTGCCGTATCCAGAATTTTGTGGGGTTAACACGGTACATTCCCTGCGATACTCTCTCAAATCAACATGGCTCGTTACAAGCTTCATATCTTTGTGCCGTGTGAAGGATGCATGTCTATCATAATCAAAGCATACAGAAACTATATGTATGCATAAAAGGGATTCATCTGTTCTCAGAAGCTCTTGTGGTACAACTAGGTGCTGATAACATGTGGAGCATTATTATGTATCTCATTTGCAACATGTATGTCGTCCATATTTCGTCTGGAATTTCATTAGGTCACTGTAATTAAAATTTCATCTTCTAATTCTCTCTCCTTTCAACGGATATTTGCCAGTCTGTTAAACCTCATTTGACGGTCCAAGTTGAACCCATTACTGATCCCTACGGGCCTTCCATTGTAGATGCAGAATTGGAGGCTATTGTTGTCAGGTTTGTTTCTGTCGATATATAGTATTTGGCCTTTTTGGCATGTTTTCTCACCATTGCAATAGCCATCAGTTTTGCACCAGCTAAAAACCCTACTTTGTACTTTCTCAGGAAGGGTATAGAAATGCCTCCTAGCTAATACATTCTTCCTTCCTTCCTTCGTTTCTTTCGGTGACAGCAAGGAGACTTTACCCGGTGGAATCTCCGTAAATAAAAAAAGAGCCGACAGAGGTCTTTCACAGTTGAAGGTCCGACATTATCAGTTTTCTGTGCATCATTTTTAGTCATGCACCTTTTCATAGCCATTCCTATGCCTCTTGTAGATTACTTGTTACCCAAATGTGGCTGAATGAATGTATGATTTTCGTGTAGATTGAAGTTGTAGATTTAGTTTCCGAAGGATCGAGTGGAGACAAGCTGAGCTCTACAACATTGCGAAGGCTCGAAGCCGAGAAGGCCGCTGATCAACAATCAGCCTAGACAAATCCCGTCCCGGCCCCTCAAAATCGGACAGCTGAGAATAAGGGCTTTGAGGAAATTCAAGCCACAATAGCCAGGAAGCTACTCTGTGCTTTCCAAGATAATTTACAGGAACAATTTCTTTGTTAACTTTTCCTGCCACTGCAATGTATCGAGTCATTTTTTACCTGTCTATCGAATTTCCATTGCTAAGTATGTAGAGACTGTGGCCATCCTCCTTTTGTCCTTTGCCACGAGTTGTAATCACAGTGGAAAATATTTTATGGACGGTACAATCGCTCTGTAGGTTAACAAGAAATTAGTCATTACCAAAATTAATGAATAATTACTTGGATTGATCCTTCCATTTTCCTTAATTGGGTGAAAGAGTCTCGTATTATCAAATGATAGCAGTTGCCTATGTATCTTGAACTTGATCGCTACGATGCTGATCTCGGCGTTCATAGTCAAATCGATAATGTCTATACCGCGAATCATTTTAATTCGCTATATGCACGATGACCATGCCACAAAGAATCCACGCCATCATATGAAGAAAATAAGCGATGAACAGCAGCCCGGATCACCGGTCACGACCCCCTCGACGAGGAGATGATTTCGGCGTCCTCTGTTACCGTTACCGTTACCAATCTTAAAAAAAGTGGAGACCATTCTAAAAAAATTGGAGAGATGCCGCATTGCACAGCGGATATATTAGACCTTGAATTGGTAAGTGCATTGAGCAAAATTGTTCTCGTGTGAATTGCGAAGATAGAAACCAGGGTGACGGGGTGACTTGCTCAGAAGAAAACCGAAAAGACCCGTTTCACCCCCGGCAAAACGACGTCGTTTCTGTAAAAGCATAACCGCCACGCTTGGGACTTGTAACGGCCACCATCAAACCGAAATTTGAAAATTCGAAATCATTAAAACGCTCGCCCATCGTATATCATCATCAAACAAGAATCAATCGCTCTTCAACTCCACATCCCTAACTTTTTCTGTTCTCTGCTATCATCCCACAGAGAGAAAGAGAGAGAGAGAGAGAGAGAGAGAGAGATCACTGGCGTCATTGCAGTCCAAGGTTCTGCTTCCGAGCCGAGCCATTTTCGGTAACATTTCGATAATCTTTCCCTTGGTCGCGGGACATCGATCCTATTCGCGGGTTCTATTTGGAGACTTCGAATGGATGTGATTTCGCGCATGTTTTATTTGCTCATTTTGTTTCGATCCTGTCGTCCGTGGCATTTTGTTTTTTTTGGAAATTCCCGCCGCTGCAGAATTGAATCGTGGATTTCCCCTGTTTCGCATCGATGATTTGATTTCTCCGATTCTCACGCTGTGTGATTTGTCGCGATTCATCTCGGTTTCTTGTTTCCGTCTGCGGGTTCTTTAACTTCGCCATCGCTGGCTCGGTTCGTTTCAGATTACTCGGAGGACCACGGCGAAGAGAGAACCGATAACCGCTGATTTCTGGGAAGATAGCCCAAATCTTTCCGTTCTGTTCTGAGGTTAAAGTCCATCAACCGCTTACGATACAGAGTTCTTGATTCCTTACACCTTTTCTTGCTTCAGAAGTTTGTGTTGAAATTGAGAGAAGGAGATTTCTTGTGTTTGCAGGCGAAAGCTTGCGACGAATTTCGCGAAAATGAACGATCTCATGACAGAGTCGTTCTTAAATTATGTGGAGTTGAAGAAACAGGCCCAGAAAGACCTCGAAGCCGAGCTCGACCTCGAAATGGGCCAACTCGATGCGGCGGAGGAACAAAACCTCTCGCAGTTCTTTTACGAAGTCGACGCAATCAAGTCCGAAATGGAGGAGATAACCAATCTCTTGCTTGACCTACAAAGCCTAAACGAGGAGTCCAAGTCCACGTACAGCGCGAAAGCCCTTGGCGGCCTCCGGGACCGAATGGACTCGGACATGATCTCCGTCCTCCGCAAGGCTAAATCTGTGAAAGCACTGCTCGAGTCCCTGGACCGGTCGAACCTGATGAATCGCGGGCTGTCGGCGAATTTCCAAGAAGGAAGCTCGGTGGACCGGACGAGGATTTCGGTCACAAGTGGCCTGAGGACCAAGCTCAGGGAGACGATGAATGAGTTCCAGCTTCTGAGGGACAAGATTGTGGCTGATCACAAGGAGGATCTTAAGAGGAGGTACTTCAATGCGACCGGGGAGGTTGCAAGCGAGGAGGTCATCGAGAAGATCGTCTCGACCGGCGGGAAGATCGAGCTGTTTGGAGGGAAGACCAAGCTGGGCCTAGGCATTCCAGAGAAGCATGAGGCGGTGCGGGACCTGCAGAAGAGCCTGGACAAGCTCCACCAGGTGTTCCTGGACATGGCGGTCCTCGTGGAGACGCAGGGCGAGAGGCTGGACGACATTGAGGAGAATGTGGCCAGCGCGAATGCATTCGTGAGCGGCGGGACGAGCAATCTGTTCTACGCGAAGCAGATGAAGAGGAAGAGCCGGCATTGGGTGAAGTGGGTCTGGGCTGTGGTGGTGATCATACTGCTCGTGTGCCTTGTTTCCTTGTTGGCATCTTGAAGTTATTAAAAGATTCTTGAAAGTGATTAGCCAGTTTCATAGGATTTCCGTTTCGACGTTCAAGGCTGTTTCTGCACAGCATGATTTGTTTTGGTCCACTCATTTTGGTCAATATAATCTGAACCTCATGCTTTCTTCTTCAAAGCTAGAAGCCCCCAAGCAATTTGACATTGTTGATCTGTTCTTGCATGCTCATTGTGCTCTCAGATACCAGTTTCAGCCATTGACAGTAACCATACACTTCTGTTTTATCTTGTAGCTCTTCCTCTATAGCGTATCAATAACCATGTTCGTGAATAGTTGAGATCATCGGACATCGTTGCAATGGTGATCCAATGATAAAAAAAAACCAATAGACGAGACTTCGTAGGTGTTCTGGACTGAATCGACCCTCCGATGCTTAGTCGGTTAAGAGGGTTTGAATGATAAACCTGTGAAGTTCCGTTGCATGGGTACACAGTGAACAGACCTGAAAAAGATTATCCTCGTTCGAACCAGAGACGGCCGTACGTAGGCTTTCTCGCGCGAGTGTAAAACGAGCTTTCCATCATCGTGGCCCTGTCGGCGTGGCCTTTGCCTGCATCGTGGTCTCATGAGACAAACCAAGTCGACCTATCCCGCCTAAGTCGACAAAATGCAGATCTATGTCTCATGTTTATCATAAGGAACTTGTGCGGACTTGAAATCTAGACTTTGGCCGAAACGAGCTTTCCTGGTGGAGACCTTAATCTACCTCTTCCTTCGTCCTGTTTGTTTATACAAACATGTGCATTGTTCCGGCCGATACGACGGAAAATGTTGCGCCTCCTCTCTTCTCAGAGAATTCTAGATTTTCCTAGGCTGCTCCTAAATATCTAGATATTTTCTTGTAAGAAATTTTAAGTCGAAATGTGTGGCCGACAGACTGGCCATGCCTAGTATTCTCTAAAAGTATCTAGGAAGATATTTCTCTAGAAATGTGTGGCTAGTAGATCGGCCACATTAAGCATTCTCTGGAAATATCTAGGAGGTTGAACCGCCTCATTGTCAAGAGTCTATAAATAGCCAAGAAGTGCTCCCATTTGGAAATGAGCTTGGCTCCCGTCTAATAAGTGCACGTGAGTGTGCGCTTGGTGTAAGAAGGTCTCCCATCTGATATAGTAGAAAGTGCCTCTAATAAAAAGAGCGTGTTTTTTTCTCTTTAAGTGAGCTTTGTGTATTTCTCAACGAGTGGTGTTAGAGTCGTGCTTCTGAACTCAACACGATACTCACGTCGAATGAGTGTATGTATATTACTCTGATTCTACATAAGTGAAAAGCTATATAAACTCAACAATTTGACTTGTTGGGCTCCGTCCGTATCGGCTTTTGCCTCCGTCTCTCGTCTTCAGTGAGATCAGCCGCGCGATCCCGCTCATTGGGAAAGGGCCTACCTAAATCTGAAAATCCCTTTTTTTGGGATTGAGATTAACATCAGCATAGCATTGTAATATGAACACGCAAACTTTCAATGCGCCAAAATCTTAGAGAAATTGTCTGCTTTGGATGACCTTCAAACGACAGTTGTAATATTGCATTACTTACAAATATCAGTATGTGTTTCATTGGGAAGGCTCTCTCATGAGAGGAGAGCGCATTTAACTCGAAACAACGATGTTAAATCCACAGGGAACTGAGCGAGAGTTTCATCTCAGTTTTCTTTAACTGAGAATGTACTTAAGCCCGTAGCACACAAATCATAACGATTTGTACGAATGACCATGTTAGTCGGATCGTATAGAATTCGGAAATTTCAACAACTAGATCAATTAGACTCATACAGACCATACTTGAATTAGCCATAAATCAAAGTCTGTTGCCCCCCAAACAGGTCACGTATTCTCCCTAGATGGTGAGGGTTGCCATGACCCTGGTTGACAAAGGGAGGGCGCCGCCGCCCCGCTGTAGCCCTATTCCCCCTCCAGCGCGTCTCAAACTCTATGTTTTCTTCTTCTTCTACTTTCATTTTTTTTCAATTATTTCAGACAAAAGATTCAAATTGTACCGGGAAAAACCAGTGGAGATCCATGGGACCAGTACGACCAGTTCAAGTGGCTATTTTTTTTTTTTTTTTGGCTCGGTATATTTTCAATGCCTCATTCTTCCTTGCATAATCCAATGGTTGAAGTGTTTTATACAATGGGACACCATAGACAATCCCACAATAGCTGGATGATGAATGATGGATTGGCTGGCAAAGAGATGGCTAGCCATCTCCTCTGCCCAAACCTCATTTAGGTCAATATAATCTGAACCTCATGCTTTCTTCATCAAAGCTAGAAGTTTTTCTCTTCCCCAAGCAAATATGACATTGTTAATCTGTTCTTGCGTGTTCATTGTGCTCTCAGATACCAGTCTCAGCCATTTTCAATTGGCGACGCATGACATGTATATATGACAGTAACATAACATATACTTCTGCTGTTTATCTTGTAGCTCTTCATCTATAGCGTATCCATAACCATGTTGTGAATTGTTGAGATCATTGGACATCGTTGCATTGATGATCCAATGATCAAAGAAACTAGTAGACGACGCTTCGTAGGTGTTCTGGACTTAGTTGACCCCCCGATGCATAGTCGGTAAAGAGGGTTTGAATGATAACCTGCGAAGTTCCATTGTATGGGGGACACAGTGAACAGACCTGAAAAATATTACCCTCGTTCGAACCCTAGACGGCCTTAGGCTTTATTGCGCTAGCGCAAAATGAGCTTTCCATAGCCGTGGCCCTGTCGGCATGGCCTTTGCCTGCATCTTAACCATCTGGTTGTTTCGAGCATACCGTGGTCTTATGAGATGAATCAAGTCGACCTATCCGGCCTGAGTCGACAAAATTCAGATCCATGTCTCATGTTTATCAGACGGAACTTGTGCCATCTTGAAATCTTAGACTTTGGCCTAAACGAGCTTTCCTGGTGGATGACCTTAATCTACCTCTTTCTTTATCCTGTTTGTTCATACAAACAATGTAAGAAAGTAGGCATTGTTGCAGCCGATACGAAGAAAATTTTGCACCTCCTCTCTTCTCCAAAAATTCTAGATTTTTCTAGGCTACGCCTAAATATTTAGTTATTTTCTTGTAAGAAATTTTAAGTCGAAACGTGTGGCTGACAGACTGATCACGTCTAGTATTCTCTAGAAATATCTAGGAAGATACTTGTCTAGAAATGTGTGGCTAGTAGATTGGCCACATTAAGCATTCTCTACTAGGAGGTTGAACCGCCACATTGTCAAGTCTATAAATAGCCAAGAAGTGCTCGATCCCATTTGGAAATGAGCTTGGCTCCCGTCTAAGTGCACGTGAGTGTGCGCTTGGTGTAAGAAGCTTTCCCAATCGATACAGTCATGTTTTCGCACTCAACACGATACCCACGTCGAATGAGTGTACGAGTGAGGTAGTATATAACTCCGATTCTACGTAAGTGAAAAGCTGTATAAAACTCTCCATTTTGACTTGTTAGGCTCCGTATCGGCTTTAGCCTCCATCCCTCGTCTTCAGCGAGATCAGGCCCACTCATTGGAAAAGGGCCAAAATCTGAAAATTCCTTTTTTGGGGATTGAAATTAACATGAGCATAGCATTGTAATATGTACACGCAAACTCTCAATGCGCCAAAATCTTAGAAATTGTCTGCTTTGGATGACCTTCAAAGGACAATTGTAATATTTGTTTTGCTTATAAAAGTCAAGTATGTGTTTCATTGGAAGGCTCTCTAATGAGAGTAGAGCACATTGAACTCGAAACAACGATGCTAAATCCACAAGGAGCTGAGCGAGAGTTTCATCAGAGTTTTCTTTAATTGTGCATGTACATGAGCCCGTAGCACACAGATTGAACCGATTCTTACAAATGATCATGTTAGTCCGATCGTATAGAGTCCGGATATTTCAACAATAAGATCAATCGGACTCATACAGACTATGTTTGCATAAGCCATAAATCAAAGTCTCTCGCCCCCCAAAACGGATCACGTATTCCTGCCAATGGCGAGAGACGCCGCGACCCTAATCGGCGATGGGAGGGGGCCGCCGCTGCCCCGCTGTAGACCTATTCCTCCCTTCTGGCATGTCTCGAACTCTATGATTTTTTTCTTCTTTTTTCAATCATTTCAGACAAAAAAGATTCAAATTGTACCAGGAAAAACCAGTGGGTGGAGATCCATAGGACCAACATGACCAGTTCAAGTGGCTCTTTTTTGGAGATTACGTCTCATTCTTCCTTGCATAAATCCAATGGTTGAAGTGTTTTGTGGTACAATACCATTGGGAGAATTAGCTGGCAAAGAGATGGCTCGTCTCTCCTCTTGCCCAAACCTCCTCTTTCGGAGAGGATATAACATGCCAACCTCTCTTTGAACTTCCGTGCACTGCCTGCCTGCCTCTCGTCCCCGTCACTCTCATCCTCCCCCACTTTTGCTCCTCCAACTAACATTACATTCATTGCATTTGAGCAGGTCCTTAAAAGACTCCATCTCCGAAGGTCTCTCTCTTGGGCTTTCAGGGGATGTAAAACCTCTAAGGAGATACTTCCGAAGACAAACATTTAAGTGGAACTTAGGAAGGCCGGGCGTGCGACTACCGGCACGTTAAAATAAGAAAAACATGGTCATGTCGACCCGTCAGGTGTATACACCTGGACAGGCAGGGTGGTCCCAGTCGGAGCTTTGATTCCTGTCTTCTGGTGAGGAAAGCTCAATCACGCTAAGGATCCACGGGACAACCACGATATAACATGCCAACCTCTCTTTAACTTCCATGCACTGCATGCCTCTCTTGTCCCCATCACTCTCATCCTCCCCCACTTTTGCTCCAACTAACATTACATCCACACCACCATAAGGTACTTCGAATTTACAAAAAAAAAAAAAAAAACCCATTTGTCCCGAAAATTTCGACCACCCTTAAAATGAGCGGCTCGTTGTGTACATAAGACATATTCTTTTGAGAATCACGGTATTCGCCTCTAGTTGGAAGGATAATATTTGATCAAGTCTTTGTCGTGAATTGCAAGTACAGACATTGCCAACATCAATTTTCAGTTAAGTTTGGTTGTGGATGATGCCCCGATTGAAAAATGGTGGAAAGTGTAATCGATTTTCAATAGCTCGCCTCGCACATGCGAACGATACAATTAACAAGCTCGTGTAACGGGTCGGCAGTTCCTTAACCGCGGAATAGCCTACGCAATGCCTGGCACGTTGTTCACACCAAGCCCACCCTCATTCACTAGCGAATAGCTTTATCGTATCGGATCGTATCACGTCCAGCATAGCTTAGGCGTTTAGGCCGTCAAGCGAAACACACAGAATACTTAGATACGACAACTGGTTTCGGCCTGCCATGGCCTCATAGGGAGACAGACATCAGCTCTTGACCAGTTTGTGCACGGGAGGCCAACTTCGCCTTCAGAGGTATATTCTTTTTATCCTAGAACTCCTAGCACCAACCATCTTGACACCCCTAACACAACTCAATTGTATTAATCCATTCTACATCACTCACTCTTCACCCGATAACCCCGAACACCAATGGTACAGGAGTACAAGAGAATCACGGCCCGTGACACATGATAATAAATAAAGGTGACGAGTTTATTAGGCCCAACCGTCCGAAATCCATGATTGTCAGACGAAATCCTTTCCCTCGAAAGTCCGAATTTCTTCGATAATACCGATCGGTCGAACACGGTCTCGAATCTCTTAATCACGTTACATCCCCAACCCGATCATAATCTTTCGAACTTCATCTAAATGAGAAGATGGCATCCATCGACCGATGCCGTGGTGTTGGGGAGACGAAATAGAAATGCACGATTGGCTCATCGGCGAGAGGCACGCGACGTCGCCGGCGCCCGCGATCATCTCTCACCCGCCTCACCAAACTTATAAGAAACGGAAAAAAGTAAAAGAGAAAATGACAAAAGATAAAGACACATAACAACAAAGAACAAGAGGACGAGATTGATGAGTTGCGACACCAAGAAGGGAGACGAACGATGAGAAAGCGAGGATGGCCGGGGCTCCACATCCACACCAATTTTTAGCGGGGGAAGAAACGTTACAGTGATGACTCCCCACCCCTTCCAACGTGCATATCATCATGATGATGATTCCATTGCAACACATACACCTTCTAATTCTCAAAAAATTGATTTTTCGAAATTGATTTTTTATAAGGTTTGATTCAAACCCTTTGTAGCCAAGCATGTCTCGCTTTCCCCATATATAATACATCTTTTACCAAATTGGAAGGGAGAAAAACGGTTGAGAAAAAGCTCGATTGGAAATTGGAATCGGGAATGAACTTTTGGAGCAATTTGCCTACTAGAAGATACGATCGAGATGTGATAGTCGCACCCGTTGATGATGATTATGCCCTTAATCGGTTACCACCCACAAGACTGTTTCTTTCTTTTGGTACCGAGTTACCATCGAAAAAAAAGTTTGGTTAAGGTAGGATAAGCCATAAGCCTTTGCCCGCGATCTTTTCTGGGTTCTGTTTTTTTTTTTTTTTTTTCAATAACGCAAGGGACGAGCGCATAGTCCTCGCAACCTGAAGGTCTATGGGATACCCATCAAGCCCCATGAACCTGTTAAGTTGAGGCTCGGGTGGCCCTGGTTCGAATCAGCTCGCATGCATGCAGTCGGCGAGATTCAAATAGATGTCGTCCAGTTTCTGAGTTAGCAAGTCCCACGACGACCTAACCAACCGCATCAACCCTAGGGTGATTAAACTCTTTACTTTCGCTCTGCGCGAGCGCCTTCGATTCTATCACCGCGTAATGAAAATCATCATTTAGGTTTCGATGGCGCAGCTGCAAAGGTGCATCCGCCACGAGGGTAATGGGGTCTCGTGGGTTAACATATCTAAAATCATCTCGTCATTTGATTCTCTAAATTCCCTCGGTATTAGGGTATCGATTATCAAACTCCCCTTGTGCATCCGTCAGTCATTTTCCACGTAAAAGAGATGATAGTCGTCGATGCATGATGGTTAGTCTTTTCTTGAGATTCTATTAACGAGTGCCTCGAGAGCACCGGGGTAAACCATATTGACTAAGAAAGTACCTTCGTTTCGAATGCACCACCGCTTTAGCGGCAGAGAATGATTTTGCTAGATTATTTTTGTCACATTTCTTCCTCTTTTCCTCATGTCCATCGCTCCTAACTTTATCGAAAAAAGGGGCACAAACAAGTAGTCACGAAGATAAGGAATCATCCGATGCTCGGACGCTTTACGAGATGCTTTCTTGACAATTGCCAAGTTAATTTCGGTGGAAAAGTAATTAAAAGTACGTGCCCCCAAATGGTCCGTGATGCTAAACAACATGTTTTGTGACAAAATCTTAGCAAACCATAAAAAAAATAAAAAAAAAAAGTTGTGTGAGAAAAAGTCAAAACTGGGTTCATGTAGGCTCTTTATAAAGGCAAGCTAACCTTTTTCTTTAACTGGTCCCTTCTCTTCCCGCATTTTCTCAAACCGGTTTCGGTTTCATAGCCTCTTGAAAAAGGTCGCCGCCCTCTCCCGGTTCTTGGCTCGGCCCTCGCCTCTGTTCGGCGAGGGTCGCCGGCCATCGCCGCCTCACCACCAATGATGGGGCAGTGGCCACAAGCAGAACCCATGTGTTTCTCTCTCTTTTTCTTTTTTTTTTCCTTTTTTGGGTCTATTTTTTATGAAAAGAAAAAAACGGAAAAAAGGAAGAAAAAAGGAAAAAATCAAAAAAATTAAAAGACGTAAAACCAGTAAGGTCGAGTCCTTCTTTGAAACTAACCGCCACTTCAGACCCTTATTTGAAACAACAAGATTCACTTTAAACCCTTATTTGAGAAAATGGGAGCACTTCATATATTTATTTGAAGCAAAATCCACTTCAGGTTTTTATTTAAGAAAATGAAGCACTTCAAACTTTTATTTGGAATTTTCTCTAAACTAAATGCATGCGACACCAGCTTATCGTTTTCGTAATTTAACACAAGTTGAAGCGACACATCGTTGTCTCTTCGGAGACATCCGATAAAAAAGAAGTGGCACATCGTTTCAACCAAAAAAAAAGTGGCACGTCGTCATGTCTTCTTGAAATTATTATATGTAATAATTTGTTTGTTTCATTGACAATGAATAATTAAAAATGATCGCTTATATTGTATATAAAAAGAAACGAACAAAAACTATTATTCATCGTACACGAAAATTTTCAGACATAAATTGTTGTCGATAGTAAAAACATTTTCTTTGGCTAATTGGTTTAAGCAATGTTAATGACGAAAAATAAATGATTTGAAAAATATTTTCCTAAAAATAATCGATCGTATCGCTTGAAACAATTAGTTCGAAAAATCTTTTCATTATCGATAACAATTCATGTCTAAACATTTTTCGTGTACAATGACCTTTTTATTTTCGTTCATTCATTTCCATAAGCGATAGAAGCGATCAGTTTTAGGAAAATATTTTCCAAAATCATTCGTCTTTCGCAAAACATGCTGAGCCCGAGCCTAAGCGCCAAGTAAGCGATCCTCGATATCTTTCCATTTTAAAACCATATATATAGTTATTGTGGTTTTTATTAAAAAAATATTTGTTTCCACTATTAATTTTTTTTTTTTGCCCTTTTCCGCTCGTGTCACTTGATCAATCATTGGGCCAATTCCAGGTTGCCACGCAGGCCTACCGCACCAAATCAAACAAGAATCGTACCGAGCCACTCGTGGTCTCCCAGTTCCCACTGCCCACGTGCCATGTCTTGACCCCACCACCACTATCTTATTGCTCTCTCCTTATCGTCATTATTTATTCCTCCAAAAAGAAAATAATTCATATATTGAATTAATACGACGAAAAATCTTAAAATGATATATTTATGATAAATTTATTCTAAATTAGTATACTTGTCACAAATTTACCATAAAAAACCTTAAACTGATACGTTCGTGACAAATTTGCCCTTCGTTGGTTTCCGTTAAATCGGCTCAACATCACGAAAAATTACAAATTAATACACATGTGATAAACGGAGAGTAAAACTTTAAATCGGTACATCCATCAACTGTCATGTGTCATCTGAGTAAGTCATTTGACGGTAAAATTCAATGGAAACAAACGGAGGATAAATTTGTCATAAGTGTACCAGTTTGGAATTTTTTGTTGTCACAAAAATATTTTTTTGTGTGGTCAAAAAATTAGTTTGGAGTAAATATGTCAGAACTGTACTAGTTTGAGGTTTTTTATGATATTAATCCTAATATATTTGATTGTGCAGACATTAAATTTCTCCCAAAAAGAGAAAACACGGAATTTCCTTTAATTCGAAATATCCCGCTGTGCTTTTTAAGGTGAAAATTCGTTGTACCTGCTCCAGGTTTCCATTTTCGAAAATTTTAATTTCCTAAATGAGATGCCCTATTTTAATCCAAGAAATGGGAAGAAAAAAACAAAGAGAGAGATAGAATTCTCGCAATTTTTTTAAGATATGGTCGGACATCTTCAATTAATGTGATGCCACGTCGGTTTTTTATAGAAGTCTTTCGGATAGGATTTGAGCCTCCAATGTACGATTGCCACGTGGGTTGAACGTGCCATGTTTGGGACATCAATGCATGCATGTATGAGAGACTTAAGCTCACAAGGCAAGTATGTGAGTAAAGCGTCGAAAATAAATGATTTGAAAAAAAATTATTTATTTCGATTAATTTTTTTTATAAAAATAATTTCTTATATTATTCATGAAAATGGATCGGCGCAAACTATTTTTATCGGGTATAAAAATATTTGGACATAAATTATTATCAATCGTGAAAATATTTTTCGTTAACTAATTATTTCAAGAAATATAGGTAATTATTTTTTAGGAAAATATTTCTAAAATTATTTATTTTTTGCGAAACAAACGGAGCTTTAAGTTCAAAATAAGAGAAGCATTCTAAATTTCGTCACATAGGATATAAGGATAAAATTAATTATCGCATTGGGAGGACAATAAAGAAATTCCATAAAATGCAGCTTCTTAATAGAAATTCAATAGTTAATTTTTTGTCCTTTTTTCTCAGCTAATTTCTACCTTTTTTTTCTCTCTTTTTAAAATTAGGCCGCCTATAATTCGAGTAACGAGTATGTACAGGTTAAATGAAAAATACAAAAGCGAGGCGAAAATGGTGTTTTGGCTTAAATATAAACGATGCGGTTACTCGATGCAAGTTGAGAATAGCTCTCTTTTTTTCCTTTTAGCAAGGCAAGAACGCGGAGTAGTTCGTTTAACAAATTCAAAACTGGTCAGGAAATAATTTTTCGTCTAATTTCTCTCTTTCCCTCTATCATACATCTTCTCTTGACCAAAAAACGGTTTTCACGGTATGATCGAGATCTTCGAAAAGAAAGAGTCGATATCGATTTACTATTGATAAATTTGGGAGGAAGTCATAAATTCAAAAGTTTTGTACTTTTCGAAAAATAAACGATTTTGACAACATTTTTTGAAAAAATTGATCACATGTATCGATTACAAAAAACGAAAGAATGCTAGATGTTTTCATCGTTCATGAAAATATTTAGACAGAAACTGTTGTCAATAAGAAAAATATCTGTCATTGATTAATTATTTAGTAAATATTTTTTTAAATCGTTCATGTTTTGCTACATATAGAAAGAGCCAAACGAACGTGACATTTCTCGCTCGGACCAATGCTTCCGTAATTTATGCCCGTTTAAAGCGAAATATTATTATTTAATCAACTTTATTACAACGACCGAAAAATGGAGGAGCCTTGGATCCGTTTTAAGAGAGAGAGAGAGAGAGAGGGAGAGAAAGAGAGAGAGAGAGCGGAGCGACTGTGTGTACTCGAGATCATCGGCGGCGGCGGCGGCGGAGGAGATGACGTCGCGGCGGTGAAGGACCGGAGCGGGCGGGTTCGGGTCGAGCTGCTCCTCCCTCGCGCGGCCGCGGGGATCGCGCGCGGAAGCTTCGCCGGGATTTCCCGATCTGATCTCACTCCCGGGCCCCACACTCTCTCTCGAACGAGGAAGGTTCCGCGTCGTTTCGGATCTGCTTCTCCGATTGCTCCGGATGTAGCTGGCTCCTCGAGCTGGTTCTGGAACGGTGCGGGTCGGATCTGTGCGCTTCGAGAGCAAGGTTAGTCCTCGGGCAATGCCGGTGAACCGGCGGTTTGCTTGCGCTGTTTATCGTTTCCGAGCATCGATAGGTCTGCATCGCGGAAAGAGTGGCTCGATTTTTTGTGTTCGGTGCACGTTTTCGGAGTCGCTGTTAACTTGTAGAAGTCCGATTTCATTTGGCTGTAAACCTGCGATGTTTTTGCGTGAATCGAGGTAGGAAATGTTTCACCGGACTGTAGATACTGATTTGGTTCTTTTAGTTTTGTTAACTTGGAGTAGCTTATGAACTCCATTAACGTGATCTGAGTTCAGAGGCATGCGAAAATCTGAGGATGTGTCTGATTCGCATCCTGCATTTTTGTTAATTTCACGCACTGAACACCTGAACCCGGTTTCTGTGGTAGAGGAAAAGCAATTTTCTTTGACTGTATAGGGGTGTATTGGCATACTGATCCTTTGGGTTTTGCTCCGGGATGGCAGTTTATCCGGGAGGGGTTGAATTCGGTGTGAGCGGATTAAGATGTCGTTCAAGAGCATTGTCCGTGAGCTGAAAGAGATGAAGGACGGAATCGGTAATGTATCGAGGCGGGGATCGGCGGGGAGGCGTTGGCGTAGCCGCACGCGGTCGCACATAGCCCCGGATCACGCGGCACCGCCTCCGACGTCGGTTGAACAAGGGCGGTGGGCGAACCTACCGCCTGAGTTGCTTCTGGACATCATTCAGAGAGTCGAAGAGAGCGAGACATCATGGCCTTCTCGTGCTGTGGTGGTATTTTGCGCATCGGTTTGCAAGTCGTGGAGAGAAATCACCAAAGAGATTGTTAAAACTCCTGAGCAATGTGGAAAGTTAACGTTTCCTATATCCTTAAAGCAGGTAATAGTCCATGTTAATTTATCATACAATGGATTCTACTATGTTGATTTTCTTTACAACTTTTTTTCTAACTTTCGGTTGCTTAACAAATAGCCGGGACCTCGCGAATGTCCGATCCAGTGCTTTATCAAAAGGGACAGAGCTACTTCTACTTATTTGTTGTACTTTGGTTTGATTCCTTGTAAGTCTGATTCTTCTCTTGTCATTCTCCTTTAAAATTTTCAGGTCTATGCATGTTGAAATTTTCAAAATCTTTACAGAATCAATAGAAATTAAGATAAGGATTTTCACATATGAATTTTACCCTGCCGCTGTGATTCATTGTACTCTCTGATATGGGGAACTCTGGCTTACAAGGGAAAAGATTTCTTTAGCAATAACCATATAACTCAAAATGGATTGTCCCCTTCCTTCCTTTTGGTTAAATTGGAACTTATTGGCGTTTTAGTACTCCTGTTTGTATAAGAAACAATGAGTGATAGATGAAGAAAGGCCAAATCAAAAAGGAGACTGATATAGTAGATCTGGAAGAGAGAATTTGCCTTGCTAGAAGCTTTAACTGCTCTTGGTATATATAGTTTTGAGCAATTACAGACTTTCATAGGTTCTTTACCTTGTTTACATTCTTTAGCACAGTCATGGTAGCAGTGTAGTGGACGATGAAGGTAACTCCAAGCTATATTCCTTGACCCAAAATCTAGATTTCAATCATGCCCAGCTTACTACATAACCCAACGTACAGTTTAGCTTTCTTAAAAAATTGCAATGGTTCCCCCATGCCAAACAAAACTCTACAGTAGATACGAACTATGGTTTAGTCTACACTACTGAAGGTACTCCCCAAGTCCAGTGCATTGAAGGTCATCTCCAATAGATGCTAATTGCCAAGTGTGGAACTGAATTGTAAAGATGTATGTGATTTGTAGAAGAAAACTTGCTACTGATTGAGGTCATTTGAAATTTATTTGGAAAGTGCAGCGGGATCAGTCCACCTGCTTTAATCTGTGAATAAGAGATAAGTGTGGTGCGATTGCTTCTTAACAGCTGAACCTGATGGAGATCATTAAATATAGCTGTGAAGAGAATGTTGTGACTAGGAATCTCCATCGTAACCAATGTTGAGATTCTGCCTCCTTCCTTTTCTGCTTGCTATTTTCATGAATACTGAAGCGCGGGCCTTTTTTGCTTGTAAAATTATTGATTCCTTAAGCTGCTGAGATTATCTCATTCACTTTGTTCATAATGACAGCTGAGGATGAGAGAGATAAAATGTTATTAGCTGCGAGAAAGATTCGGAGGGCCACATGCACAGATTTTGTTATATCTCTGGTTGCAGATGATTTTTCTCGGGCTAGCAGTACATATGTCGGAAAATTGAGGCAAGTTTGAAGTAACATGTACTTTTATCTGTCCACCTATCGTATTTGCTATATATACCAACCTTTTGGGATTGATCTCTTAGGTCTAATTTTCTGGGAACCAAGTTTACCATATACGACACCCAACCTCCATGTGAAGCGGCTATTCAATCAAACAGTCGGTTGAATAGAAGGTTCAGTTCTAAGCAGGTGTCGCCAAGAGTATCCGCATGTAACTACAGTGTAGGCACCGTCTCTTATGAATTGAATGTCCTCCGCACTAGAGGGCCGAGGAGGATGCATTGTGTCATGGACTCCATTCCTATCTCTTGCCTTCAAGAGGGTGGTAGCGTCCCAACACCAAGCTTGTTTGCTCACTCCTTCGATGAACCGTCTTCTCCGTCACCTGCCTCAAAAGGAAAAGACAAGGTCACAGAATTTAGCTCCACAAGTCTCTTAGATATTCCAGTTCCTGTTCCGGGGTCAGGTGAGCCACTGGTTCTCAAGAACAAGGCGCCTAGGTGGCACGAGCAGCTTCAGTGCTGGTGTTTGAATTTCCGGGGACGCGTTACGGTTGCATCTGTTAAGAACTTTCAGTTGGTGGCGGCTGTTGATCCGTCCCACAAAATTTCGGCTGCAGAACAAGAGAAGGTCATCCTACAATTCGGAAAGATCGGGAAAGACATCTTTACCATGGATTACCGCTATCCACTTTCTGCTTTGCAAGCCTTTGCAATCTGCTTGAGTAGCTTTGACACCAAGCCAGCATGTGAATGACATGACACTTACTTCAGCTGGACATTGTGGACAGTGTTTTTACTATTTAACTCCGAGCGAACGCACAAGCATAATCATGACATGTGGAAGTTCGTCTGGCAAATCGACGGCGGAGAATCTTCGCTGAGCATCCATAGCCACTCTATTGAAGCTGGGGATTGTGAAACTGAAAGACAACTTGTATGTTATGTTTGTATGGCACGGCTGTAATCAAGTCTCCTAAGGTGTAGCACACTTTGGATGTATGTTTATTAGCTGGCTACTTGACTCTTAATTATCAAAACTCTCGGAGCCTCTGAGCTTCTGATTACATCCTAGTTATTGCTCCGGCGGCACATCTTTAATGGAAATAGGGTTGTGAATTCATGCCTCATTATCATCGGCTGTATTTTCATTATGGAAATAGGGTTCTGATTACCTCTTAGGTGGGATTTCAGCTTCCAAGTCGAAGTACCCTAATGTGACCCGTGACTGGAGCCAGTGGGGCTCCTTTCCTTTCCCGCTGCTATAGAAGCGTGAAAAAAGGGAATTTTCCTTTCGAGGCGGCGAAAGTGAGAAAGAGAAATAAACAAATCCTGATGCTAGTCTTGCTGCCTATACTTGAAAATCTAGGCATTTTGCTCCTTCCAAGTATGGTATATAATTGTCAAAAAAGCAAGTTTCGTGATAGAGTTAATGAGGCCATGCCCCCGATAATGGTGCATCCCCCTAGCCCTTCGGTACTCTCTTCGCACCTTCGGCTTCTTCCACTACTGCGGACCCGGCAATCGCCGAATTCCTCTTTGCACCTTCGGCTTCTTCCGCTACTTTGGTACTCTCTTCGCACCATCTATTATCGTTCCACTACTACAAACGATACCAAGGTCGTCCCTATTCCAACTCTTCAGACAACTTTTCTTTTCCATTTCTGAGGTGATAATAGATGGACTTCTCGATCTAGCTGATGATTTATGGGGATTATTTTGCTCAAGGACTCCAAACCTTTGCCTGATAGCAGGGTTATGAGGATCGACTAGGTGAAACAAACGTGCACCTACTCAAAGGGGCATTGACCATTGAGACTGTGAATGCATCAGTAAATTTTCTGTCTTTTTTGGGCTAAACTCTGTTGCTTTAGGGGGAGACTTCAACCTATGACCTCTTGGCTCTAGAATAAGAGCTGCAGTGCAATACGCCAAATGGCCTTTGAAATCAACTGGAAAATCTTGAAATGCCAACTTCGGACCATACTAAGAGAAACGACAATTACAGCACTACCGTGAAAAAAGGCTCCACGGGGCTTAGCTTTTAAACAGAACAGATTATTATGACAAGGCAGCACGCACTAGAAAGTAGGTAATTTTAACTCCCCAAAGACAATTAAACTTGGAGGCTAAATCAACAACAAGCATCAATAGATGAAGGTTGCCAGAGCATCAACATGTGGTTACAATTTCAACAGTCTGCTAAAGCAATGATGAGAAGAAAATGAAAATATCGTTCGTGTCTCTCTTTTCTGCCCACTCTCTGATTAATCTGTAAGCTGGTGGATGGACACTGCCCCGGCACTGAATCGCTTGCACAATTGAAGTCTCGCCTGGGTATATAGGAAGATATCAGGATGGTCTCGAGGTAGAGAGGAAAGCCATGTAGCTCACTGCATTCCCAAAAGAAACTCTTCAAGGGTCCTTGAAGCACAAGATATAACATTTCTCATCTTTTATTCTGAAGATTCTCGTTTCTCATCTCACACAGGAGTAAGTAATAAACTCTGTTGACGTAAATTGGAAAGGCTGATGCGGAAATGGGTTCCTGCGATGCAGCATTAAAAAGAGAAGTTAAAATCCTAGGAATGCGCAAGAAGCCACTAAAAGCCAAACCCAACCCTAAAAGTGTTTGGCTTTGAGGTCAGTACAGATGACAGTATGGCTCTTCCTAGAAGTAGCCCATTAGTCCTCCTTGATGCAATGATGAAAATTCTAAAAGGCAATAATTATAAGTTAGTAATGACGAACTCACGGTCGAGGACCATAAACTTTGATCTGCCGCACATGTGTGTCTCGTCCATTTAGGTGATTCGACAGCACGGCTATTTGCAACATAAAAGTGTTGACGAAAGTTTCCCTGTCCAAACGCTTTTCTTATTACTCGAGAAAGAAAAGGAAAGCTCACAAATAAGTGATATATAATACTTAACAAAACCTTTGAGTCTGCAAGAATGATACTCCAAAAATACAATGCAAGGGAAGACGTAAAATTACGTCTCAGGTGCACTCTACAAACATATGGATATCTATAGAGAGTGTCACCAAAACTGAGAATCAGATGACACCGCACATGGTTTACAGTTCTTCCCCGTGTTCCTTCAATTAACTAAGTATGCAAGAAAATGCATCTACTATTTTCTTCAGTACCTTAGGGGTCTAACAATGCCAAAAGAAGATAGCAAGAAGTCAATAAAGGGCCAATAACGCACTTGAAAGATTCAAAACACATAACCCTTCGAACAATCTAGCAGAAAATCTCTATGTTCAGCAATTTTCATTTAAAAATCATTTCCATGTCCTAGCAGAAAATCTCCATGCTCAACAATTTTCTGTCCTAAAAGCACTGCACATGTCGACAGATAGTTCTACATCATATGATCATATTAATAAACCAGCTTCCATCACATAACAGGAAAAGAGACTATCCCGAATTGACCCCGGCTGTTATACAAGGTAAACACGACAACAATTAGCACCAACAACCACCACCAGCAGAAAGCTCCCAGGACATGACACCCTATCTTTCTAGCTAAAATTTCCCCGAAAATGCTGCCCTCTTTCGTACGATGTCGTATTAATATCAAATCATACATAGGAAGCAGAGAACTATCTAGCATTGCACAACTACGGGAACACGACACATGTGCTTTCGGAACTCACCGAGGATCATTTCCAGATAGAGATATAGGAATCCAACCAGCCGGCTTCACGAGCTCCGCCGTCTTTATCTCCTAAATCGAAAACATTTACCGGCAAAAACATACTCAACTTTCTAGTCACAAAAGCAATCGAAATCTCATCGAAGAAACTACACACATAATCATATACGACACGGCTCCAAAGCTCCACCCGAAACCCGGAAAAAATAAAAAAAAACCGACCTTCAGATTGTGGAACCCGTCCCCGGCGCGAATCGAGATCTTACTGGGCGTATAACTCTCATCAAGCTTGAAATCCACGTACAGAGCCACCATCTTCAACCAAATCAAGTCCCAAAGAGCACAATTCACACTTCTAACTTCTAAAAGCATCTCGTCACCAAAGACAAGAAAAAGAAAAGCAGAAAACTTTGGCAAATTGAAATCAAGAATCAACGAATGAAGAATCAAAACCTGGAGCTTCACTTTCTTCTGGAACTGAACGTTCACCAAATGAGGCTGCGCGCCGTCGGATCTGAGTCCCTCCCAAGAACACCACCATAGAACAAACCCAACGATCAATTCTCGAACTTCTTCCTGAAACGGAGAGCACAGGGAGGGAGAGAGAGAGAGAGAGAGAGAGCGTACTGCCAGTAAGTGTCGAGGTTGTCGTCGCGCAGGGAGGAGACGCCATTGCCGGGCTTGCAGGAGCTGACGCTCCAGACGGCCTTCTTGCCCATCTCGCGGAGGTCGTCGTCGACGGCGAGCACGGGGTTCCCTCCGGTGATCTTCCCTTCTTCTTCTCCTTCCGACGATTCCGTCGCCATCGGAACCACCGGAGAATACCGACGGTGATCTGACTCGAGCTTCGCTATTTGAAAAAGGAAAAGCCCACAAAAACAGTAAATAATAAGAGAAATGACGTAAATGGTCCACGAACTTTGACTCAATATGTAACGCGATTTTCGAACTTTTAATTTTTTTAACATGATTCCTGAACTGTAACTCGATATGTACAAATCAGTTTAGTCTCTGGACTATGTGATAATATTTAATATTACCATGAACTTAAATTAATGAAAAGACATCATTGAATATTTTCATTTAATTTAATGACTAAGTTGAACATTTATCAAAAGTTCAAGGATCGTATTTAACAAAATTAAAAGTTTGGGCACTAAATTACACATTGAGCCAAAGTTTACGAAGCACATCGAATAAATTAAAAGTTCAAGAACCACGTCGCACATTGGACCAAAGTTCAGGAATGATTTGTGTCAAAACTATCGTCAAACCTTTTTATTGTTATTTTCACAAAAATAAATAATGCCCGATAATTTATTTATATTTGGCAAACATGTTTATTAAAGATTTTCGGAGAAAATATCACGATAAAAAAAATACTTTTTAAGAAATCATTTTCCAAAAAAATAGTTTCCCCTTTATGATTACGGAATTTATCTTGCTAAGTTTTAGCGTGCATATTATTTGTATGAGAAATTATTTTCTGTTGACCGATCATTTTCAGCAAACCTTACACGTGAAAGTCCAAAAAACTAATTCGCGAAAAGTTCTTTCGCACAAATAAACACGCCCTAGCATTTTAATTAATCTTTAATCAGTTGAAAAAATATAAAAATAATTTTTGTTGATAATGAAAACAGACCAATAAAAAAGAAAAAAAAATTGATGTTGAAAATTGAAAAAGAAAAAGCCACAAAAACAGTGAATAAAAATGTTATCAAACCTTTTAATTGTTATTTTCACAAAAATAAATACTCTCTGCTAATTTTTTGTTTTAATGTTTCGTTGACAAAACATGTTTATTGGATTTCGTTGCAATTTCAACTAGAATGATACAACAACATAACAAGAAACAAATCGATGCTTCAGATATACTTAATTTTTGCAAATTAATATTAGCATTTTAATTAAATCTTTAGTCGCTTGGAAAAAAATAAATGGGATTTTTATTGATAATGAAAATGGACCAAGGAAAAAAAAAGATATAAAAAAATGGATAATGAAATAGGGAAGAAAAATAGGGAAGAAGGCGCTAGAGGAAGGGGTTGAACCTTCGACCTTGTGGTTAACAGCCACACGCTCTAACCAACTGAGCTACTCCAGCTGCTTTTACCACCACATGGGCATAAAATATTAATAAAATTTTTTCAACCTTGCCATTCTTTAGATTAAGGAACTCATAGACATCTCCAAACAAGAATGTCCCATCGCTTCTTGCAATATGCATACATCTTAGAAGTCACCTTTGATTGCATCAAATGGAGAGGTTCCGCATCTTTTTGCATTAGATTCGCCCGTTCATTGCAAATTTGCAGAAATCTGTCACAAAACTGCAAAACTCACGAATGCCTTTCTCGGTATTCGCTGCTTACGACAAAACTGATGAATGTCGAAGCGTACTGGCATGATAATAGTTTCTTGACATGTCAACCTCGAGTACGGACATGTCAGACCGTCTTGGGTTTGAAGATACGTCGCATGCAATCAAATTAGTTCCATAATGCTGGGTTCGACACGCAGTAAAGAGCAATCATCCTAGTTTATCATCTACCATTCTAGTTGCATGTGTCGCGACAAGTTCAGCATCCAACGACTGCTTTCGGTTTCAAGGCCAATAACAAATCAAAACTGTACAGATGCGACTGAGTACATCGCTTGAGAAAACTGAAGCAGAGACAATGTAGATTCCTATATAATATGGACACTATCAACATGGCTTGAAACCCAAGAAGAAAAAGGAAAAACGAAGCCTACCGTCAGAACTTGGACTAAGCAAAATTTGCAAAAGAATCCATCCCAAGCAATGCGGAATCTTGCCGGGATGAGAAATCTTTCGTTGAGAAGATTCTATGCTATCTTATGTTGATGGATATCATTATCTACCACTGCACGGTCAAAAAGCAGAGTCCTCAGGATGCACCTTTAAATTTCACCTTGGTTGCTCGAGAAGTTAGGTCTTCTAAAATGACTATATCTTCCTTTCAGAAGGCATAGAATGCCTCAGATCACAAGCCATCATGTTCGATATCTTGGAAGAGACTTAGCAGCTCGGAAGCACTCGCCTTTGCTTTGTCACTCCCATTTGTCTTAATATTGATTAGAGCAGGATAAACTGTGAAACTTTCTTCCAGGACCAACTTACAGTATCGAATTTGTTCGCGGCATACCGAGTGTAGAATGGCCACTGCATATTCTTGGTCTTCACTACTTGCAGACTCTAGAAATTCAGCAACCGAAGCAATGCATTTATTGGTCTCTGCAATGGAAGTGCTTGCCTCTTCGCTATTGCACAAATTTTTCAGGATCATCAGGGCAAGCTTTGTAAAGAGGGAATTTTCAAGAAAAGGAACCATCTTCGGGATGCATCCTAAATATATAAGATGATCACAGACATAGCAATCATACGACAGATTGTTGAGGATCTTAAGTGCAGATTCCTGAAGAATTCTGTTCCGAGAGCCAAGGATTTTAAAGATGGGGGCAAGAACACCCGATGCAGCAATCTCGGGTCTGCAACTTTCATGAGTGGACAAGACTTCTAGCATTGCAAGAACTTGTTCAGATACTTCCGAATCAAGTAATGATATCAAGAGAGAGAAGGCACCTTTCTTGATACATGTCACTTCATATCTACATGAAGCAAATGAAGCAAATTAGAAACAAGATTCTGCAGAGATTTGGGAGCATTTTACATAAACTGTAAATCATTGCAGACGGGAGGAAAAGAAGCGACCGCAAGCATAAAAGGAAATGATACCATTACTGATTAAATGACACTTCCCTTCTTAAGGATAGATTTAAAACACTTCCATATCTGATTAATCAAGTATGACGCAACCACGAGCATAAAAAGGATCACCCTTAAATATTTGAAACGTCATTTAAGGTGCTGACCAGGAAGCAATCACGTCATCCTGAGCTAGTGGTGTCATCATCACATTATCCCGAAAAGGAACAATACCATCACTAGTATTTACAGGTTTTGGCTGACTATAAAGAATAACATACCTATTTTTGGTGACATAAGTCAGTAACAACTGCGACCCAGTCCTTTGAGCTTTTATGTCACCTTGGTCATGGGCATCTACTAGAAAATGTACAAGCAGCGTAAGAAAATTCTCAAATGGTGCCAACCCAATAGCTTGTTCATCACGATCCAAATAGTTTTTGACATCTTCAACAACATTGCATTGGGACTCCCATTGAAGCTCTTTGAGTTTAGGCAGTAATGCTAAAGATCTCAAGGTCCCCAGTGTAGAAGTCTCGCATCTTTGATCACCATCATCACTCTGAATAGAGTTTGAACTTAGGTCATCTGGAACTCTACCATTCGAAGGGTCAGGATTGTAGATGGAATCTACGTATCCATGAGCAAGACTGCCAAGGCTATTGATGGATGTTGAAGAAGCTTCCAATGAGCAAAGGGTTTCTGCTCGTTTGCTTAAGTCGATATTTTTAATTCCATGTTCTACACACCACTTCGATATCTCGTGTTTCAGGATACTGTTTGGTGCCAACAACTGATGTGGCAGCTTTTCCTTTGTTTTGGGACATGTATCGTAACCCTCATTGAACCACCTCTGGATCCACATCCTTTCAAAGGTCACTCCAGAAGCAATGATGACGGGATCATACATCAATCTCAGAGACAAGGGGCATTTGAATTCATCAGGAGGGACAGGGTTCCTTAGAAGATCAGCTTTAGCATCATTACTGGATCTGGAGGTTTGAAATTCATTTGTTATATCACCGAGAATGATAGCATTCTCCTGTTGCTCTGCCACGATGGAGTTTCCGTACTTATTCAAGAGATACAATAAGAATTTCAACCATTCTTTCTTCGCTTTTCTGTCACCAGCTTTGCTGAGAAGATTCTTGATTGATCTTTTCTCTATTACAACAGCTCTTTGAGACATGATATGAAGCTTTGAAGCAGCAAATTTAAGCGCTCCAATATCCAATGTCTCTGTCGGACCATCTATGGATAAATGTGGCCTCAGAGATTCACGAAGGACCTTCCCAGCCTCCATTTCAGAAGGATCCAAAACAAAATTTGCATTTCTAAGCTCGTCAATTATGTGACATATCTGCAGACGTAAGCAAACAAAGAAATTAAAAAAAGGAATGGAACCAGGTTTGACCTCCCATTACACAACTAAAAACATCCATCTCACAAGCAATATGAAGAATGCATGTCCAAAGAAATTTCCTGCACCCCCTGCCAAACCTATCTACGGAGAAAATGCCAACTCCAGGAGAGCTGCAACAAATGCATAGGTAATCTTTTTGACAAGATGTGGATTTAGCACTTTTCTTATTCTGACTGATAGAAGGCATAGGACAAAGTGTTGCCTCGGATCATTAACAGAAGCTGCAAAGGAGCCTGTCCTTTCCATGTTGGCCACAGAAATATGCCCGCTAGATTCATTTATATAAAGAAGATAGAATCTGTGTGAAATCTATACATAACGTTTAAAAGCAACCAACCTCGATAGCCAACAAGATTGGAACCGAATTACGAACTAGGTCTAAACTGCGCTCCAATAGGTCCCTTGATCTTTGACATCTCCTGGCTATTGCATCACTGGTCAATGCCTGAAAGTTGCAACAATCATCATACATATGAAGCCAACAACTATGCGAACTTGATAAATAATCTACCTAAGTACTTTGGGAACAGACCTAATGTAGATTTTAAGGAGTAATTCCAAGGACTGAGTAAATAATGACAAATACAGGGGAAAGGCTGTCCAATGTTTAGTCAATTCAGCATGTCAAAATTCTCCCCACTAATGACGCACCAAAACATCTATACCCAACTTTTCTGCTCGTTCTTCATCCCTTTACGACTTTTTTAAT